GCCCGAAGCTCTCTTATGATAGGTATGCCCGAAAAAACGGTATTGCCCGAAAATAGGTATTGCCCGAAAAACGGGCATCGGGCCGGAAAGCGGCAGAGGAAACTAGCAGTAAAACGCGTTTGCGACCGTCAAATATTCCAAAATTTTCTTGGCGGGTCATTCGCCTCTCAAAGAAAACCGGCGCCGCTGTCTATAAATCCGAAATTTTTCCGGCATTTCTAGTTTTGCTTCCCTAACTGTCATCGAGCCCTAATAAAACACTAATTTTACTTTTCTTGTAATTGAATATCACGAATTTGTACTGAATTGACTATGGATTAAAACATTTTGTCTGGAGCCACTCTACTTTGTGTGACATTTTTCAGGCATCGATTATTATTTGTGAATGTAGATGCAACAGTCTGATTGGATGGTTAGAATTCAGAGTGGGATTTCAGTTACAAAACCATTGGATACTTTTGAGTTGCTTACACGGGCTAGAATAGCAGAAAACGCATTTACGGTGATTAAAATTTCAAATTTTTCTCCGGGAGGGTGAGGCCTCCATATACCGCGCGACGATTGATTGGTTGTTTGGAATTCGGGTCAGCCAGGTAGGCTATATTGGACCAAATTGAAGTTGCTGTATTCACAGACTGGAATAACAGGAAAACGCGTTTGCGGCAGTTACATTTTCAAAATTTTCTCCCAACGGTCCCGTCTTCGTTGACTGTAAACGATTGATTGGAATTCGAGTCAGCCACCTTAATAAGGCTATAATATATATTCGACCACTTTGAAGTTGCTTTGTTCACCGGCTGAAATAGCAGGAAAACGCGTTTGCGACAGTTAAATTTTCAAAATTTTCTCCTAACGGTCCCGTCTTCGAGGACTGTAAACGATTGATTGGAATTCCGAGTCAGCCACCTTAATTAGGCTATATTAGACCGCTTGAAGTTGCTTTGTTCACTGGCTGAAATATCGGGAAAACGCGTTTGCGGCAGTTAAATTTTCAAAATTTACTCCTAACGGTTCCGTCTTCGAGGACTGTAAACGATTGATTGGAATTCCGAGTCAGCCACCTTAATTAGGCTATATTAGACCACTTTAAAGTTGATTGTTCAACGGCTGCAATAGCAGGAAAACGTGTTTGCGTCCGTCAAATATTCCAAAATTGTCTTTGGGGGGGGGGGGGGGGGGTATACATGGTCGCTGCTGTCTGTAAACCCGAAATTTTTTCGGGCATTTCGGGTTCTGCCCCCCTAACTGTCATCGAGCCTATGCGGATACCTGAAGAAACTGATTGGCGAATGCCAACTCAGCCAATCGGGATCACGCGTCTTTTGGACGTTTCGACAATCTTACAAATACATTTATCAAGAAACGATCATTGCTTAAACAGTCATTATGCAAGAGCTAAATCTGCCTATTGCAGGTCTTTCTTTAGGCTTTAAATGTTACATAAACTATTAATTAGACATTCATTAACATGGCTCCCCAACTGCTTAATGATTACGCTACCAATCCCCTACTTCCTCGGGGTACGCCACTATCGCGGGTAAAATATGTGAATATTTACTGCGGATCCGTTTGGTTCATACTCCACGGACACAGATATATTTAAACGTATGTTTGAAGGGGAACAACTCTATTCTACATTGAACAGTTTGCCACAGATCACCAATGATTACCCCATTGCCTTTAATGTTAATTCTGGTCTCTTACACCGGCCATCCTTGTAGCCAGTCAGGTGGGGGGGGGAGCGGGTGCAGTGCCCCCTGAAAAAATGATTTGCCCCCCTACCTTTGTTCGGTGGGAGTGACCCCCCCCCCCCTTTGCAGCCAGATACACAAACTTGAGATACACAAATTGGAGGTAAAGAACAATAAACATGCAATTTCTTGCCCTATATTTCAACCTAAACCTAGCAGAAAATGTATTTCCAAACAAAAATCGCCTTGCAAAAAGGGAGTGGGGGCGGGGGGAGAAAGACTAAAATTAACTTATTACGCCTATTGTATTTGTCGTTAGACGCTGTCCATTTACCAGGGGCGAGCTGGGTAGCTCTAGGCCCTCGGAACCGTTGGTTTCATTGGGCCCCTATCTCGCTGGAGAATTTTTTTTTATATTTCATTCAATAAGAATAGGATTGGGAAACAGGCTAGGACACGTAACACGGCGAAAAAACGATTCATCTAATCCGCACACAAAGTTCATCGGGATTTTACCACATTCCCCCTTGTCAGTGATGCAAAACGATCCGATGCGCAAATATCAAAAACATATTTTACGCCAACATTTTGCAAGAGATGGACAGAGAAAAAAAGGGATTTTTCATACAATCAGGAGCCACAATCCAGGAAGTTACGGTCGGATATGCGCGAATGTTGAAAAGAACCGAGATCTTTGGGATATAAACTATGTTTTAGATTTCATTAAAATATGATCAAAATTATGACCTCTAGAGGATCCACAACCTTGGAATTAGATACTTTTACACTGTTTGCGTACAAGGAGCGGCAATGTTTTGTCGGCAGTTACGGTCTAATTTTCACAAAATTTAACCTCAACCATCAGTAGAGTGTAACGGTTTATAAAATCGGATAAAAACTGTGACTTTTTCGTAAAATCGGGGGCTTTAATCTAGGAAGCTAAGGTCCCATAATTTTCAACAAAATCGGATAATAATTATTGTGACCTTGGTATTGCATACTTTTTAAATATTTGCATACACGGAGCCGGCCCGTTTTGGTCTGATTTTAACGAAATTCAAACTCAGCCGTCATTAGGGTATAACAAAATGATATATTTGAACGGTTTTTAAAATCGGCTAAAAACGTGTTTTGTCGTACAATTAGTGGACATAATCCAGGAAGTTACGGTTTGATATGCGTGAATATCGGAAAGAACTGACATCTTTTAGGATATACACATCTATATTAAACATACATTATGCAAGTTCTAATTCTGCCTATTGCAGGTCTTTCTTTGGGCCTGAAATGTTATCTAAATTATTAATTAGACATTAATTAAACATACATTATGCAAGAGCTAAATCTGCCTATTGCAGGTCTTTCTTTAGGCCTGAAATGTTATATACATATAAACTATTAATTAGACATTTATTAACAACACCTGACAATAATCGACTCTCGATGGCATCGGATACTCGAGATTTTAACTAGATTAAATCGGTTCGCCATTTAAAAATTTAATTTAAAAATGGGAAAGCGAGGCTGTCCCGATTATACCAGTGCCGTGGTTACCACTGTGCACACATCTTGTCAAAACTACAAACAATGATAACTTGGCTGAGAATGAAGTAATTTGAATGAAATTTTCAATATTTTCTTTTTTTATCATCTATTTTTGAATTATTATAGCAAAAATGACCAACTCTTTATTAAGATCTTAAACTCTTAACTAATGTATCTTTAACTTATCCAGACCATAATCAACTCTCGATGTCAACGCTAGCCTGCGATATTTATTGGATTATGATCCGATTTGCTGCTCAACTTTCATCCATGATTTAATCATGAACTGTATAATCGAGACTATGTTTTTATCGAACCGACTTTAGTTATGATGATCGAGGCTAGGCCGAAATTTAAATCGCTTAATTCTTGGTTCATAGTGGATCAATTGCCTTCACATTATTTAGTATTTAAAATGAAATGAAATGAAATGAAATGGGATTTAATGTCCTACTGTTCTGCTAAGAACTGGGCTAATAAAGACGGGTATACGCTATACAGTGTGCTATGAGGGAAATTTTGCCCGGACAGCGGCACTACGGCCTACTCTTATATCGAATTCCAACTGTCAAGGGATCTTTTATGTGCACGCCAATGTGTACACGGGACCGCGGTTTTTCGTACCATCCGAACGACTAGACAGCTGTCCTTGTCAGGCCCCCCGTCCTGCATTACTGACAAGTGGGAACCACGTCGGAAAATCTGGATGAACTTTCTCGGCCAATGCAGGGATCGAACATCCGACCTCAAGGCTAGCGAGCCAGCGTCTTACCCACTTATCCCCCTATTTAGTTTTTAACTATTATAGTGAGTATTGCCAGCTCTTTATGTAAACTCCCATAACGTATCTTCAAATTTCATCAAAATCGGATAATAATTGTGACCGCTAGAGGGTCCAAAAATAATAGCGCGCAAGGAGCCGCCATTTTGTATGGAAGTTTTGGTCCGATTTTCACGAAATTGGAACTGCCCCCTCATTAGGGTGTAACAATGATATATTTCCTCGCGATTTTAACTAGATTAAAACGGTTCGGCCATTAAATTAATGCACCTTGTACACATAACACGTCATTGTCTGCGATATCACCTCGGTGGAAGCGGACGTAAAATACAACTAACCCATCATCATAATGATATAATTTCAAAATGGAGAAGATAGGTTAAGTTGAGAACATACCAGTGCCCTGGTTACGATAATAAACAATCAATGCCCACATCTTGTCAAAACTACAGCGATAACTTGGCTCAGAATAAAGTAATTTGAATGAAATAAATTATATTCATTTTGCATTATCTATTTTGAACTATTATAGCAAAAACGACAAGGGGGAAACCACGCCGGAAAATCCTGATGAACTTTCTCGACCAACACCGGGAGCTTGCCAGCGTCTTACTAACTGTGACTCCCGTCTTCATTAGCCTAGTAGATGCAGAAAAGTAAGAGGTTAAATAGAGAATCTCCTACCAGTCTTTTTTTGATATCAAAAAATATCAACACAAGTTGATAAAGTAACAAAAAACGAGGCTCTGATGTAAAGTGATATCTCCTTAATTTCCTAAGGAGATATCGCAGTGGATTATGAAATATACCACACAAGCGATATCTACTGTAGAATGTATTATTGGGTGATAAAACCCATTTCATTCATTCCATGCACAAGTCCAGATAACATTAAACAACCTGTCTTGCTGCTAAGCTAGTCAGATACAATCAACTAGTACAGGCATATACTCCGATTGAAATATACAATAATTACATCAGGATAATTTTAAATAAAAATTCTATGTTTTATTTATCAAATAAAGGACATATACAGTATTATATCAGACTCCTTGTTCATTACAATAAACAAAACAATTATAAATTTAACCTTTCATTTTATAGTTTTACCGCTAGAATATCAGAAAATATTCAGCTAAGTAGATGAACGGGTACTTTGATTTATAATAAAGATATAAAAGCGAGAATATTTTTGGCATGTTTTGTAAGATCTAGCAGATAGAAAAGTTTTACTTTTAAGTAATATAAGTACAATTGGCATATATATATATAAATGTATAAACCTAACATTATTCTAGTATAATGAGGGCTATATTTAGCATCCTCTAATATTCATATCCTGAGAGTCAATGATAAGCTCTGCCCTTTTCCCATATAATGAGGGCTGTGATGTAGCATCCATCAACTTTATATGAAGATATTTAGAAAAGAAACAGAAAAGACAATGATAGCACTAATTAAAGCCAAGAAATAAAATCTCTACATCCATTAATAAAACCTGGTTAAACTCTAGAATTCTGTAATAACACATTTTTGGCATGAATTACAATTGACAATATCTAGTACATATTTATTACTTGATAATCAAACATTCAAGTCCTAATTATCATGACTTAAAACATATAGACATAGTTACATGTAAACAAAAAAATAAATTTAGCACTGGTATTAAGTAATATTTTGCCTGGTGTCGGATATGAGAAAATGGCATTTTAAAAAAAATCACTAAGTTTTAGCCAGTTATACAAACTCTACATTAAAGATGCATCATGAAAAAGTTAAATCTTCCTATTGCAGGTCTTTTTACTTGTTTCAAATGTTATATAGATATTACTTAAGACATTTATTCATATGACAAGCCTATAATCAACTCTTCTTGTCCATTGGATATCTCTAGGCCATTGGATGGCCGAGATTTAAATGGATTTTATCACCAGCTTAATTTAAAAATTTAACAATGAAATAGATAATCAAGACATAGTTTCGGTAGTCAAGTACATGTACCATTCCCACGTTGATAAACGATCTACACTACATCTTCAAACAGTGATAACTTCGACAAGAATAAAGCAATGGAAATGAAATTTTCAATATATTCATAATGTATTTATGAATTATTATAACAAGAACAGCCAGCTCTTTATTTAAGTCTTACATAATGCATCTTTAAGCAGTCGATAAAGCACTTTGGTAAAAATATGAGACTATCCACAATGCAAATATTCGACACAACAGGTTTCTCTTTTTAGATTTTCTAGTTTTGTTTTAACTTATGTTGGTATTCATTGTACAACTGATTACAAAAGATTTTTTTCTCATGGATGAATAATTGTAATAGAAGTTTTTTGTGATAACCACAGCACAAATTAATATATGAAGGTATTTACAACATGTTTTAATTCAATAGAATGTCATAATCTCTGAACCAGTTTCTATCCCAGTCTACGAATTCTACACATCAACCCATGACTCAACCTTACAAAACATACACCCTATTTGAATCATTTCTTGTATGTTGAATAAATACTTGGAGCACAGGCTGAGCATTTACCATTCTAACATTGGATGAACATGCTTTTGAAATGAAAAAAAATGAAATGGGGTTTAAAGTCCTACTTTTATGCACCAACTGGGCTAACGAAGTAAGACATATGCCATACAGTGTGCTATGAGGGAAATTTTGGCCAAACAGCTGCGCTACGACTTCCCCTTAATTTTATGTCAAACTTTCTGGGGATTTTTAATATGCTGCCAATGATTTACAAGGGGCACCTGTTTTTGTCTTCCCATACTAATGACTAGGCACTTTTCATTTCCAGGGCCTGCATGGTGTAGGTTAGCCTGGCGACCTTACTTCTTGTGGGATCAAACCACACCACCTGCTCAATGACAGACTATATGATCTTAAGCACATGCATTAGACCACCCAATAATTTTGAGAGTGGTATAAGAACTGTGACAGAGGGATAAGAACTGGTTGTAGAAACCACATGACATGTACATATATACAGATGACGCAATATACTTATTACTAGTATTAATATACTAGATATATATAAATCTATACAATATATACATGATTATATCTTTCTATATAAAACATTTCAATAGTTTTAACTTATAATAAACTTCCTATAAATACAATTCTTACAAATTACACAAAAAAAACTTGCACAAATTTTAAATGCTAAATAGATATAAATCAGGTTTGGGTTTTTTTTTTTCATTTTTGTGTTTGTAAGTCCCTCTCTAGCAGTACTGATCATAGCAGTTTAGTTTACTATCAACTTGGATTTCACGAGATGACTTACTACAGGCTCGTGTCTGTTTAATCAGATTTGGTTTATTGAACAATTTTTTTTTTTATATCAAATTTTCATGAATATTGACAAAGCCTAGACTTTATTGATATATATATATATTCATATTATCCTACATTTCATCAAATTTATCTTTATTTTGAATGAAATATTAATTGTATGTCTCTTTGTAAAGTGCCTTAGAGGAGACATCCTTACTTATACACATGTAGGACTTTATACACGCTTTTTGTTAAAGATACATTCCCGCGAAAGTATTTATATAGGGCAGTTATTTCCAATAAAAGTATGGCAATCTTACTAGAAAAATACTGGATTCCCTGAAAAACAGCCATGGGACAAACATTTGGCAAAAATGTCAGGGTATCACTAACTCAACCCAACGGTTTATTGTCTGCCAGCTTGACTTAGGGAGTGTTTGTTATTTCTTGATCAAATGGTTAAGCCGTTTTGAGAATATTGAGGGGATTAACCATACAATGGACTCTGCAATTAAACTAAGGTAAAGGAAGTCAACAGAAGATAATCCAAGAATATACTTTGGTTTCAATATGTATGTTAAATACATTCTGAAAATGGACCTTCCCTCAATCCAATTAGGTGACAAACATGGCTTCCAAAAATAGATTTTTTTTATGCCTTGGGGTATTTCCTTGCGAATACAATATTTTGAGAGTGATTTAAAGCAAATTTTTGATAGATTAACTAGTTTAAATATGTTTTAGTCCCAATATATCATAAAATCACCCAGTTTTTACATTTACATGGGAAGACATCTTCAACCCTTTAATACGGGCAATTATCTTTATAGTTGGTATTCGAAAAAGATGAATTCAATCCCATACTACCATTTCACGCAACGACAAAGCGATTAGGGTTTTAGTAATGAATACAGCAGGGAAGTCATTTGTTATTAGCAGTTCAATTTAATCCCTGACTACTATGTCATGCAATGATATCAAAGCAATTAGCTTTTTATTAATAAATATAGCATGGAAGTTATTTGTTATTAGCAGTTCAATTTAGTCCCCGACTACTATGTCATGCACGGATATCGAAGCAATTAGCTTTATATTAAGAAATATAACATGGAAGTTATTTGTAATTGGCAGTTCAATTGATAAAAATACAGTTGATATAAATAAGTTAGACAAAAATAATAAAATGTGTATAATATATATCCTAGAGAAGTTCATCCTTTAAAAAAGATTAAAAAAAAAAGAAAACAATTTTGACTCGCAATATAACCATTATAAAATGGAAGCACATTTAATGTTTATTTTTTATTCAGCTTGGCTCGACTTCAAGAGACTATTTTAAAATAAGTTCATATAGATCTGAGGTTATGAAACATTCTCAAAATGGTCAGAAGAAATATGGAAAAAACCAAAAATGTGACATGTTAATTGCGATTTAAAATGTTTCATAACCACAGCCTGATGAAGATGAAAAATTTTATTTTGATATTGCTAAGCAACAAGTAATGAATATGATATTTGATTAAGAGGATGCTATGATTAATTACAATGAAGAGATATTAAATATATATGAATACATCTCCAGAGTACAAATAGATGATATAAATACACAAAGGTCTTGATAACTGTCTACATATACCAGACCATATTTTTCATAGCATTTTTGTTTTCTTAAGCCCAGCCCACATTTTCATTACCTTTAAGTTTCATGGTTTCAACACAACATTAATTTATCAGCGAAAATTTTATTTCTCAAAGATCTAACTTATTAGATTTAAACAGACTGACTGGAGGCCTAAATTAGATATTGCTTTGTGGTGTACAATCACTGATCGAAAGTATTTTTCTGCTTGGAAGACTCAAATTGTCTTGTTATTCCTGGAAGACTTTAATTGCCTTGTGGGATATCAATATCATTTCACAAGGAATGAAGGAAGGAATGAATGAAACAAGGCCCCTTAGTCTTAATTAAGCATTCAAAAAGGTCTCCAATATTTACTAATGGAGACTACAGAAATCTAGTCGAAATGTCGCTACAATAAAAGCAAAGTGTTCTTAATTAAGTGTTCAATAAGGCCCCAGGGCTATCCAATCAGTGTCAAGTGTCCTGAACTTAAAATGGAACTTAAGACTTGGTTTTTATCAAACATAAATATCGGCATCCAGACAGTTTATTTCATTAATCATCGCATGATGGAAACTTAGAAGTTATTACTCTTGATAAGAGAAAGACCACAATGATGCCAAACAGACCACAGTGACATCAAAGCTCTAAAAATATTCAAATGGTACACAAATGTACAGTTTTATATAAATCAAACATTGAATAAACACTTTCAATAATAGCACTGTCATTGACAAACTCTCAGTTTACAGTCCTCCAATTAAACAACACACATCTTTATATAAACAGTAGTTTGATTGGATGCAGTAAAGTTCTCAAATTCAAATCATCCAATCAGAGCCAACATGCTTAATAATATAAACAGGGTTTTGATTTGCTGCAGGTAACTAGATTCTCCAATGAGAAGTACCAATAGAAACATATAATAGACTTTTGATTGGCTGTAAATCTGTGATCATGATACAGAGGATATGGGATTATGAGGCGATCCCATCTGAGTTAAAACCTTATCCAACCATTGCAATGGACCGTTTAAATGTAGCTCAATCCAACATGGTGTACTTGTGACGTCTTGTCTGTGATACTCTGCTCCCCATCCTTTCACGAAGCTCATTCTGATTGTACACATCTTGGTAAGTTCATACACTGCCTCGAATCCATGATTAACTGACTGACTTAGAAGTGTGGCAAATTCTTGGTTATTGAATATTTTGAGACTGCATCCAGGAGGGATTTTACAGACAGTTGTGGGATGAAAGCCGTGGTGATAATTACAGTTACGACTCTGGACAAATATACTACTGTCACTTAAACACTCGGCAAATACTTCTCCACCAACATAATACAGATGAACACCTGAAAACACGAGATATACTTTATTCACATGGTCATTATTTACATCAAACAGAACTGAAATGGGAAAAACCAGGCTAATGAAGATGGGCGTTTGCCTATGCATGAGGGAAGATTTCCCCGGATAGTGTTGTTTCGATTATTCTTTATCAAATTCCACTTGTCAAGGGATCTTTAATTGTGTACACAGGAAATACGTTTTTCGTCCCACCAGAAAGTGCAGTGTATATTAGGAACATTTTGTCTGGATAGCAGAGTTTCCACACAATAGTCATCAGATTCTGTGACAGGTTCTTTAAATGTACAGGGGTGGATCAACATATATTGTAATTCTTTGACTTTTGTAATAACACAATCAACAGTTATCAAGTGATGCCTAGCCAATAGACAAAGAATCAAATTATATCATGTAAATTGCTAGTCATATCTAATATTTTTTGTATCAAATACAACATGAGAAATAACTTTTATTCCTTCTCAAAATAAGGCATTTTGTGCATCATCTGGGCTGATGAAAATAGGAATACAAGATGCAATTTACTGATCTTTTATCCAGAAAGTTTTCAGCTACCCAGTTGTTTGTCGCAGACACTTTTTCCTGGTCAGGAACTTTGTCCTGACAAAGACCTTTCGCAGTTAAGTAGACTTCACAAAGTTGTCAAGATATTAAATATATATACGTACCTTTACTGATGTGTCTTCTGGTGTTTTCAATAGTTGAGTTTCGATTGACATTAGACAATAGTCCTAAACAGAATCTATCAGCATTATTTGAGGGGTCAGTAAATCCATCAACTACAATACTAGATCGTGAAGCATGAAATGCCTCTCCAACGCGATTATTCAACTCATAATAAACTATTGAACACCAATACTGTGGTTCTTGATACGTCACAGGTTGAACGTCTGAAATAAAATACAATGAAATGTAAATGGGTATAACGTCCTACTGTTCTGTACCAACTGGGCTAACGAAAACGGGTATACGTCTAACTAGAGCTGGGCGATATTTCTGTTTTTTGATATAAACCCCGACACAGAAATAAAAACCGTCAAAAATACCCTCTTCAAAAAGATATCAGAAAAACGAACATACCGTGATATATCACAGTTTTGATTTTTCTGGATGATATTTAACATCAATATTGAAAACATTTTTTTCTTTTTATGTTACATGTATTTACGGTATTTGATTGCTTAATGATGAATAAATACTGTTATAAACTTCCGAGTGTTCATTCCACGAAGTTTGCAAATGCTGATAAAGAGCTTTGTTTACGTTGCGTGACTTCTTGCTCACTTTACCAATACCATTAGAATTATCCCTGCTTCTATTCAATTTCTTGACAAATTGTTTATACAGATGCTTTGATTTCCAAAGGAATCATTATTTTCAGACTGAATTAAATTTTAATATAGCAGAAATATAAATTATGCCAACTATATTGAGAGTTCAAGTACACTGATTATCATTCAGCATCCGACACTGATATACAATGTACAGCAGTGCTTATGTTTTATAGTATAATTTAGTATTTTTGCATTGCAATGCATTTTCAAGAAGGTATGCGCTTGAATGGGAAAAACAAGTTTGCTAGGATAAATGAATAGCATTGAATCGAACCCGTAGTTATAACCAGCGGCTGCCAGGCAGGATACGCCCACATTTTTGAGAGATGGATAGAGAACAAGCTAACAAGAAAGTGATTTTTCCTACTATCAAGGGCCATAATTCAGGAAATTACAATTCAATATGCGCGAATATCGAAAGGAATTGAGATCTTTGTGTTATAAACTTACATTTCAAGTTTCAACAAAATCTGATAAAAATTGTGACCTCTATAGGGTCCACAACCTTGATATACCATATTTTTACGCTATTTGAGAACGACGGCGGCCATTTTGTCTGTCAATTTCAGGTCGATTTTCACGAAATTCGAACTCAACCTTCCTTAGGGTGTAACGGTGATATAATAATACGGTTTTTTAAATCAAATAAAAATTATGACCTCTATAGGGTCCACAAGCTAAAAACGCGATTTTTCGTACAATCAGGGGCCATAATTCAGGAAGTTACGGTCCGATATGCGCGAATATCGAAAGGAACCGAGATCTTTGGGTTATAAACTTACATTTCAAGTTACAAAAAAATCGGACAAAAATTGTGACCTCTATAGGGTCCACAAGCTAAAAACGTGATTTTTCGTACAATCAGGGGCCATAATCCATGAAGTTTCGATCCGATACATGCCAATATCGAAAGCAGCCGAGATCTTTTGGGGATAAACCTATATTTCAAGTTTCGTCAAAATCGGATAAGAATTGTGACCTGTAGAGAGTCCACAAACAATTGTGGACGGACGTCCGGACGGACAGGGGCGACGGCATAATACGTCCACATGAAAATGTGGGCGTATAAAAAAACATGCACGGTCAAAAGAACACAAGCTTTTTTTAAATGTTTTTAGTGCCTGCTTCATGTAAATATTCTTAATTTAAATAAAATATAATTAATATACTGGAAATTAAAATTGTGATAAACAACATAGACCAATATTCTTTAGCAATTCTTCATGGCTATAGACAGATCTGTGTTTGAACAAGATCATTAAATTTTGTTGGTAAATTTGGTACTGTATTTATACTAGAAACTTAATAATATTATGTGAATATTATGGGGTTATTTCCAACTTTTTATGCACGTTTTGTTTTTTACATTTAACCAGCAGCTGCCAGACAGGATACGCCCACATTTTGCAAGAGATGGATAGAGAACAAGCTAAAAACAAACGCGATTTTTTGTACAATCAGGGGCAATAATCCAGAAAGTTATGGTCTGAAATGCGCAATATCAAAATGGACTGAGGTTTTTGGGATATAAATATAAAGGTATGTTTTAAGTTTATCAAAATCGGATATAAATTGTGACCTTCAGATGGTCCACAACCTTCGTATTACGTACATGTACTTTTACACAATTTGCGTACAAAGAGTGGTCATTTTGTTGCACAGTTTCATTTCGATTTTCCCGACTTAATGATAGTGACATTTAAACGGTTTTTAAAATCGGAAAAAATTTGTGACCTCTTCTAGAGAATCTGCAAGCTAAATACAAGATTTTTCGAACAATCAGCGGCCATAATCCAGGAAGTTACGTTCGGATATGCGTGATTATCTAAAGGAACCAAGATCTTAGTGTGTAACGGTGATATATTCACATGTTTTTTTTTTTAAATCGGATAAAAATTGTGAACTCTACAATCAGGGGCCATAATCCATGAAGTTATGGTTCGATACATGCCAATATCGAAACGAACCAAGATCTTTAGGAGATAGACATATTTTAAGTTTCATCAAAATCGGATAAAACTTGTGACCTGTAGAGTGTCCAAAAACAAATTGTGGAAGGACGGATGTCCTGACAGACAGGGGCGATGGCATAATACGTCAACATGAAAATGTGGGCGTATAAAAAGAGATAAAAAATTAAATTATCGACATTTTATAAAATATCACGATATAGTGATTATATCTGTTTCCAGGGATATCTACTAGCTCTAAGACAAACAAAGAGCTATGAGGGAACATTAGGACGGGCAGCGGTACTACAGTCTACTCTTATTTCAATTTTCAACTATCAAGGCTTCTTCTACGTGCATGTCAATGTGCAGGCAGGACCTCGATTTTCATCCCATCTGAACGACTAGACATTGTCCCTTGCCCAGTCCTATATCCTGCACCACTGACAGGAACCACGCCAGAAAACCCTGATGAACTTTCTCCGCCAACACAGGGGGCAAACACAGGACCTCCAGGTTAGCGAGCCACCTTGGTTCTATAATGTAAAATAAACTTGAATTTAGAGTTTTATGGGACTCAGTTCCAACTGGGCTATAATGGTGGTCGCAATGAGACAAACTAAGTATTGAAATAAAATGTATCTACTCAGTAATTATTTAACTATAGGAATTCAATTCTAAAATTCAATTCACAAGAACATAAAATAACAAAGAAAATCATGCAACTGATCAGGGCATATCATTAACATTAGTGAATATTACATCATGCAGAAGATACAAGTCGAATTGGGTAAAGATGGCCTTGTACATGATGAAATACATTATTCTTAAAAGGAAGCCGATAAAACGATTCAGTGAAACTTAATGCTGACAACTGGTGTGTGTTGACTATCATATATAACATCTGCAGGGAATCACGAATGTTGAAAATTCCAACAAGTAGGAATCAATGGTGAGAAATTATAGTGCAATTTATCGTATTTTTTAATACTGAAGGACTTCTTCATTAAATATACACATTTGTCTATTGACCTGTTATGCCATGAAATGGAAGAGTGGTTTTACATCTATAGGCTAAGTCTGTTCACTAATCCTATTCAGATATATCCCTAACAAAAATACTGTTTCAAAAAAACAAAAACATGAAAGGATCTTAAAATACAGTAGGAGAGTGTTGTTTACAAAATAACAAGGTGGTGAAAATTAAGAGAACATATACAACAATAAAGTGAACATCAATACAGAGTTTATAACGGATATAAAAACCTACCAACTGTAAGTTGACATGTCAATCTCTGATCTCGTGGATTAGATGAAAATTGACGAGATACTGTGGGTCCTTTATGAAGCATGGGTACACCTAAAGATACATTTAAATAATAAAAACAAAACACATCGATAAATAAAATAACATTTAAACCAAACACAACTTGACCAGCGACAACAGGGGTCTTACAAGTTTCATAATAATTGCCAGGGCGACAACAGGTCTTACAATACTTAAGTACATTTCTTGAAATCAAAGCATGTGAATTGACGACACCCCATATGAACTAAAGAACACACATGTAATCCTGACATTTTAAAGGACAATATTGGTGCCAGTCATTATCACATATGTGATAGAACTGGTTAAACACGTTCCAAATATTATTTTATCACAGAGATAATTTCTATGATAGAGGCATAATCAATGCTTCAACATTCGGAAATGACGAAGCAAAAGGAAAACACGAGTTATCCCTCTATATAACTGACTGAAGTGACGAGTGATAACAGATACATGGGCAAATTTCTGCTCACTAATAATTCCTTCGAAGACCAAAAGTTATGAGACTGTAAGAGTATATCTGACAATTCAAAAAAGTAAATGAATGTCATTAGATAGAGAACACGAATAAAATAGAAACAGTCCGTACATTCACGCGTGTTTATTCATTCAATCCTTATAAAAACATAGTAATGCACAGACTTTTTCTATTTTTCTTTCATGTTCTCTTATCTAGTGACAGTCAATTTTTTTTTATGAATTGTCAGATATCCTTTCACAGTCTCACACAACAACTTTTGGTCTTCGAAGGAATTATTAATGGGCAGAAATTCGCCAATGTATCTGTTATCACCCGTCACTTCAATCATTTATATAGAGGGAAAACTTGTGTTTTCCTTTTGCGTTTGTCACTTCCGATTGTGGAAACATTGATTCCAGATATATTGTAGCAATGATCTCTGTGACAAAATAATATTTGAAACATGTTTAACCAGTTCTATCACATATATGATAATGACTGGCACCAATATTGTCCTTTAACTATATTCTGTATACCAAACTCGATCACATGTAAATGGGTGAAAGTTAAATTTTCCATTATATACTGGTGGACATTTTGGATTTTGGCCAATTTGACCCATTTGGAAATGGATTTCAGTTATAATATACCTTTAGACCGACCGTAAACTGTTGTTGGCATTTCTACTGCAGTAACTACATGTATCTGCACTGATACAATCTTGCCTCAACTAATAGAATGAAGTCAGTTATGTTTGGTAATATATAAAGCAAATTTTGGACAACATTCAACAAAATAAATGATATAAAAAAATCAAATAACAAATTAAAATAATTATTGAGAGAACGTAGACATCATTATACATGTAATAACCAGCATGCATCCAAAATTATATTTTAACACAATACATATATAGCAAACATGGGTTGCCAGACAAGACAATATATGCCCACCAGCAGTCAAGTTGCCCAAGCAGTCATTAGCTACAAGTTAACAACTCATTCAAATTTCAAAAACATAAGATATTTAAAACCTCAAGGAAGGTAACGAGAAAGGAATCAATCTGGATGTCAAAAAATGTAAATCAATTTTTTCCACAAATATGTTTGAAATCATCCTCATAATGATAATTTTACCTAAATGTATACCAGTGATGGGATTTTGCCCGTATATTTCGGACATGTCCCGACGCTATTTTCCAAACGTCCTAAATTGTCCGACCAGGAATATGCCGAATCGGACATCAAGACATGGTAAATAATATTCAAAATTCCAAAATTAATATAGTGTACAACTAACTACCACTCAACCCAATTATCGTTGATAATAGGCTGGATTGATTAGGTACATGTAATTAAGTGAACAACGTATTTATTGTTTTATACCGTCTATACACCTACTTTGATTAACTACTTAATCTGCCTTGATTGGCTGACTTAATTCTTTGTTGAACAATTCATCAATTCAATCCTGAACAGAAGTCATTGCTTCTCCTTTGTTGGACTATATATCAATCCAATAAACTTAATCAACGTGATTAACCCGTGATTTCTCCATTGTCTCGCGTTTTAATCTCCTTGATGTCGGCCGTAGACATTAGTCATATATGTCACATATCCTAATAGTATATAACACCCTAAATCACATTGTGTCCGATAACTTGTCTGTGATATTTCTTCAGTGGTAGGGTGACCCACCATAAATAAATATCTCCATATATCTCGACAATTTCGCCACAATATTTATATATATGCCAAGCCTCAAATCAGTTTCACACAATTATAGTCACTAAATAAACGATCATGTTGTACTTAATAAGCTATGACCATTAATCATCTATAAATAATAGACTGAAAACTGGTTCCATGTGTCGTCCATAACATCCAGACACTTTTGAGTAAAAGATAGGTTACGTGCCCTTGTTTTGAAATTAGAGTCGCTTAACCAGTCTATCGACCATTCTAAGGCTGATTGACAGGTCGGGATAATCAAGACTACTTTTTTACGAAACATAACAGAAAGCTAGAACAAGAAATTGAATTAAGAAATGAGCACGTTAGCTAGCTCAACAATTGTTTTAAGAAGCTTGTAAAAGTAAAATGAAACTACTGCTAGTATCATGTTCCTGTCTAAACCGAGTGTTTCAGAGATAGTATTTGTACTAAACCAAAAGATGCCGCTCTTAATGGTACAGTTAATGATAAAGCGATTTAAAAAATGAAACAAACGTAATTTCTAAATCTCCTGTAATAACCAAGAAGCTTAATTTTACTGCTATTCAAAATCGTCAACAATAAATTTTTTACGGCTGTAATAGTTGATAGATTTGTAAAGAATTGCACGTGCCATGGCTATTTATAGTATCATACTGTCAGAAAGTTGGCCTCGACACGCCGAATGTGCACGCTTCAGTGGTAGTCTCGAACTATCAGCGGTTGACTGTATTTCTGTAGGTGCATGGGCCACCCTATCAGTGGAAGCCGAAGTTAAATAAAGCTATTTCACACACACGCAAAATGAAAGTAGAAATCTCGCGAGACACGTGGAATTAAGAGGTGTAAACGTGCCCAATCTAATACGTCTGATGTCAGGACAAAAGATTTTATTTTGATGGCATATTGTCGGATTTATGATCATATTTTGAATGGGGTTTATGTTTTTAAATAAATAAATAAACACACGAAGAAATATTGACGAATATTTCGATTGGACTAACATAAGTAGTTACGGTAATTGTTTTAGACGATAGCGCATGCTTAGAGTCGAATGGGATTTTTTAGCAGTTGGTGTCACTCGCTCGTTGTATTAGAGCGATGTTTACTACGGTTTACGATCAAATAAATCGAAACAGAGTATAAAAGGATGCCAGACTTTGCTGAAAAATGTATTGACTTATGACCCGAAAAATACGGTAATTTTTGGGGAATTTGAAACTGGTACGGATGGGCAGTAGTCGGCACGCTTTCATTCTATGGTATGACGATGTCATGTAATTTTATAGGAATATTATTGACATAAATTTTAAAAACGTACGGTAATTAAATATGAAAAATAACAAGGTGCACCTATTCTTTTTATTACGTATGAATTTGAATATTTTGTTGACACACGATTCTTAATTGTGGTTTGAAAACGCCTGCTTAAATAACGATAAGAGTTATGTCCCTTTATTTTCGTGAAGAAAATGTCCAACAACTAAAATTTTGAAATCCCATCACTGATGTATACTTAACTTAGGTTCTAAATGAATGTTTGATAGTGATGAACCAATATGCATCGTTTCTGATTTACCGATATAGAATATATTTCGTATATCTGACAATACAGACACAATTAACAGTAATTGCCAAAATATCCAATCTAATACATGCTAATCCGTTTTTAAAATAGGTTTCTTTACTACCAATATAAAATGTCATCTATTTTCGTTTACATTGAACTTAGTTTGTATACAGAGAAGGATTACATTGGACAACAACAGGTATTTTACATGCACTGCAACGGATATTTACATGTACTTTACAATAACATGCACAGTTTTTGACAGAACCACAGACACTAAAAAGATGACACTTGAAATTGTGCCTGAAAACATGTGTGCCATGACCATGTATGAAATGTGTAGAAATGTTCTACACTGAAAGGGCTGATGAAGACAGGCAAAACGTCATACAGTGTGGCACGGCCTACTCTTATATCGAACTCCAACTATCAACGTTTGTTTTACGTACGACTTTACGTTGTCCCTTGCCAGGCCCTCCATCCTGCACCAATGACATGGGGATACCTCACTGGAAAATCCTGATGAACTTTCTCGGTTAACACTGGGATCGAACAAGGGACCTCCAGGTTAACAAGCCAACGTCTTACTCGCTGAGCTCCATTGAAACCTGGAGATTTTGGTCAAGCATGTTGTAGAGTGCGATAACTAGAGACAGTACTAGAATGCCATGACTTGAATAAAATGTCTAAGAGACAGTATCTGGGTGCCATGAATCATATAAGATGTTGAGAGAAAGTACCGAAGTGCCGTGACTGGTATGAAATGTGTCGAGACAGTACTACCTGAAGGTAAATAGAGACAGTACTACCTGAAGGTGGAGGCATGTTAGTTGTATCCATGGGTTGAGGTCCATTCTGCTGCATGTTATTACCCTGTTGATTCATGTTGATATTATTCTGATTACTATCTTCTGGTGGTTGATACGCAGGAGGAGGCGTGTCGGCTAAAATAAATCATTACATTTTTCCATAAATACTCTAATTATAGATCATTAAATACATGTACCTAATAAATAATACCAAACAAACTGAAATTGGGTTTTACGTGCACACTAATGTGTACTTCTGACCTTAGTTTTTCATCACATCTGGATGACTAGACAGCTGTCCTTGTCCATCCCGCACAACTGACAAAAGAAAACCACACTGATAAATTAATAATACTCTACATGTAACTAAAAAATGAAATGAGGTTTAATGTCCTACTTTTTTTGCACCAACCCAACTAATGAAGACCGAAATACAACATGCCACATGCTATGAGGGAATTTTGCCCAGACAGCAGCGTTTCTGCCTATGCTTTCTTTGATTTTCACCAACCAGGCTAATATGAAAACAGGCATACGTCATGTGCTGTCCGATTGCATGCCGTTACTTATTAGAACGAAGGTTGTGAGGATTATAGCTTTTCGGAATGTGCAGTGGTAGATCTTAATAAAACCTGTAGTCTCGATTTTCACGTCAGTTTACAACTCGTGTCAACAGTATGGTCGTTCTTAATAATCGTTTGCTGTGCAATGTACATGTACCCGACCATTCCGATCGGTAAATGCAGAATCAAAGAACGATGGCATTTATAATCATTTATAGCAACAAATAGGCATTTTCATGAATCCGATAGGCTTAGAGTATTCTGAATGGTCGGTCGTTAACAAAACTTTTTTGTTTTATTTCTCTTGATACTAAAAAAAAAAACTTAGTCGGCAGGTTTTGTAATGGGTCGGTCGGGTTACCGGAAACAGAACATTTTTTTTTGGGCCTAAGGCATGTTTAGAGAACTTAAATATATTACCTGGAAGACCAAACGGACTACCTGGTCCAGAACTCTGTGGAGAATTAGGTTGTTGTTGTTGGAAGGGATAAGTGACGTTATGTGGCATGGAAGGTTCCGGTACTTGTTGAAATGGTAATAATGGCATATGATTCGGACCACCATGGGCAGGAAATTCACTATATCTCGGCACCAATACAGGCGGCAACACTGAAAAACGAGCAGGAAAATATATATTTAATCTATTACGTTCAGTTAGCAGTTAGCAGAATGTTAACCAATAGTACCAACAAACATAATGAATAAAATCTTTAACTCAAGATAAAGTAGTGAGAGCACATTCACACTATTTTGACTTTTTGGGGCGTTATATCATTTTTTTCAGTAAAAAATCATTTATGGGGGATATTTTCCATAAAATCCCATTAAATGTATTTCGACCCTTCATTTTTTACTGAATAACCATAAACAGGCATGTATTCCTTACAAACTGAAGCAATAATCAATACCATAAAAGCCACGAGACATGACAGGGGTTTTAGAGCCAGATTCAAATCTGTGATCAAGCTACATTTCTGTTTCATTTATCAGAATTGGCTATACATGTACATTGTAAGCTTGTCTAAAGATAGGTTCCCAGAAAAGTATTTATCGGGTGGTTATTTCCCATAAAAGTATGGCAATTTTGGTACAGTATATATGGAAAGTAGAGATATCCAATCTTACTAGAAAAATACTGGATTCCCTGAAAAACACTCATGGAGCGTATACAGGACAAAAATGTAAGGGTTCCCCTAATCGACAGCCCAACGATTAGGAATACCTGCACGCGTGATGTCGAAGGTTGCACGCGAAGATTGAGCGCTTGGTGTACATGTACATGTTGATAAACGTCATGATGAGTTAGACGTACAACACTTTCTCAGATAAAAATCACAGAAAAAGACGCAGGCAGTGGATTATCCGAGAATTTAATTAGGATTTGATATTTGTAATAAATAGTCAGCGACTTCGCCCCCGTTGCTATAGGTACCAAGAGAGGTAAGTCTCGTGACACAAACATGACCTCTTTTGATCGATTTTTATAGCAGGTTATTCCTTGGCAATTACAATGTTTTGAGAAGGACGTGAAGCAAAATTATGATAAATTAATTAGTTTGAATATGTTTTTAGTCCAAATATATCAACCAGTTTGTATGCGGGAATGTATCTTTAAGACAACCCAGTGAAAATAAAGCCTAGATTTTGAGGTCAACAATTTTCTATATATGTACACACATGTACATGTATATAGTCTTAATCAAAATTAATGAGGTACCGGCACTGGTATTAACTTTTTCTACACAGGAAAATTAATTCTACAAATATACTTGAAGTGCTATTTAATTATTGCCTACATCTCTAACCTAGTTTTGAAGTCATCAAACCCATGTAACAGCAGCCTATATTCTACTAAGCTATTACAGTAGTAAACTACTGTACATGTACATGTATATAAAGTCTATAGTATTATTTTAAGCTTATATTAACTCAGTGGATTGGAGTACATGTATAGTTGGTACCAGGCACAATGTTTGATCACTGTCTAATTTCTACTAAGCTACATGTACATGTAGATGTAGCCTGAAGGACTAACAGTCATTAGAAATAAAATAAACTCATTAATTATATAATAACACCTAATCATTAATTACTGGGTTTAAATAAAGCTTATAACATCTATCTCTACATAAACAGAGATTGTTTAGACAATAAGTGACATCATAGATAGTAGTGAACCTCAAGTCTTTCAACATCTCAACTTGTATTTACATAAATATTTTCATTAGTGTAAGATTATGCAGTAAGAATTTCTTTGTAGCTTCAAAAGCAAATATAGACTGCGTTTGGTTTCCTTATACATGTAAGAATAGATTTTGCATGACTATGATAAATTTATTTATAGTCCGTTTATTGATTGAACTTTGAAATGGTACATGTCACATGTATTCAGAAATTGAGAAAACAAAACATTATTTTACATATATTATAATCTGTCACAATTAATATTATATCGTGTTGACACTTGAGATCATATTGACGAATAAATCACTAAAAATGAATCTACATGTACAATGAAGTTGGCCTACATATAATGTTACATGTATATAATAAAATTTTATAAGGACATGATCCGCATTAACTTTTTTATGTGGAGGCCTACATGTATTTATTTTATCCAATCGAAAAAAAATGTGGCAATTTACATGTATTTTGAAACCAAGAAGGCCAGAATTGCAATCATTATGTAAATACTTTTTTTGTTGTACCAGTACATGTATTAGATACGCAATTGTGAATTGACATCAAAGCTTGAAGTCAAAACAAAAATATTTGAGATATAATATTTGAAATCATTGATAAACAATTGAATGCTGATGAAATTATCAATACAAATATTTGAAGCTGACAAAAAGAAAATGTTTATAATTACCTGGGCTTTATAATAATACAGATTAATACAAATATTTGACGTTGAAATGTTTATAATTATTATATAATTACCTGGGCTTTCGACACGTTTGTAATGATACGGATTAATACAGACATCTTTTTGTTTGGCACTGAAAGGATATTCACAGCATTCTAGTGGTTTCAGTTCATGATGAGACTGTAAATCAGGCCATCGCCAAACTCGACAATAAATAACATGGGGTAACCCTTTACGATGTGAGACTTGTAGGCGGCCATCCAGAGATCGAGGTATTGTTACACATTTACTCAGTTGACCAGGCTGACTTAAAGCTTTTTCTAAATTTTCCAACGCTCCTTTTGTCTTTTTTAATTTCTTAACAAGCGAGTCAACAGCCTTTTCGGCCCATTTTTCCTCTTCGTCTCCCTGCTTCCATCCCAGCAACCTTTTAACAGCTGGACTGGTGAAGGAGAAAATACTTGACAGTGGTGATGTCATCTCTGAAATAGAAATTTTTTAATAAAATGTTCAGATAAAATAAAATTTCTCTACATCATCAAACCTATTTAAAAATTTGTACCCATGTACATGTAGGTAAATTCACAAAATTTCTAGCTTCCTGTTGATTTTGTCATGGGTCATTGAAATGATTAGAAGGAGATGTTTATAATGGACAGACAAGAGTCGAATTCGGTGATCAACAAAGAAAGTGGTGAGTAAAGTGATTGTCAAACAATCTGATGTCTGGACTCAACTAGAGTCATAGACAAACAACAAACACAACACCTCTAGACAAAAGTACCATGTACTACTTCCCATTTTATAAACTACATCAACTTCTGCTCAATCTTCTATACATTTTAGCCACGTACTGTTCCATGAGAGAGAAATGCTTAATATAGGGGTTCAATTCCACACTCAACATGAACAAGGTTTTTTGGGTGAGAGGCAGAAGGGTCTAATATAATTTACATGTAAGTACATGTGTAGGCTATACATGTACCCCAATCGTTATTCACATATACAATTAAATCTGAATAAAATATAACTGTTTTTTTTTTTTAAAAAAAAGATACACAAGGGTAGGCTAACTCATTGGAATATTATACATGTACGAAACAAAGTTGAAGATTGAATATTTTTTTGAAATCATGTGACCAGTCTGCTAGAGCTCCAAACGCGAGACCCTAGATCACTAGGCCATACCAACCCTAACCTCTATATTCGGCGGAGATAAAGTTACCTTTATCTGTACCAGCCAATATAATGCACTGTCTAGAAAATAAACCCAGCCTACAATTAATCGTTTTATAATCTCCAATTGTAATCTTTTGTTATCAAATTAATAAGATCAATCTGAAAATCATTTTACTTCAGAGTACATTGTATTATACTTGTGTCACGTGAATGAATGTGATTTGACATGACTACTGCCTGGTACAGTGCCAGAAGACTACTGTCTGATACAGTGCCACTACAAATCAATAACTACATTAACTAAATAGGACTGTAAAATAGTTCAGTCAGAAAAAAACAAATGAACTGGTAGCTGTAAAAAATATTAGGTGATTCATCACTACAGATGATAGGTTGTCTCTAGGTTACATTCGTTCAATCACAGCAGAACAAAAATCAATTCCTTCAGATTCTACATTGTTATTAGTCATTGTGTCTGTAAAAGTTACCCTACATGTATACATTAAAGGAGCTAAATCTCTACTTTTTATCACATAGAAATGGACACAAATGGGTCACAACGCATATAATAATGTAATATGAATGTACGGTATATAAACTGATTTACATTCAATCGTTTCTGTTTTTACTCTAATTTCTAATCCGTTATGTTCAGCGAAATATGCGAAGAGTTGATTTAAATTGACCAATGTCGAAGGCTGTGGATGATATTGAGTTAAGTACCCATAATATTGTGTCAATACATGTATCTACCACCACTACTTGCACAGCTGTTCATTTGTTGGTGGGAACATGTGCGATGTCATGCTCAATGATATGCCATTTCAATAATTCACTTACGAATAGGGATCCTTAACAGTAGGAGGAAACCTGAGGGCCAGGCAATGATTCTTGAGGTTAGGGGGCCTACTGTAAATGTCCATCAAAGAAGTACATGTAATTCTAAGTTTTAACAAAGATTATTATTTCAACAAAGGTGAATATGAAGAAAACAAATAGACCTAATAAATGATGCATAACAAAACCGATTGGCAATAGTCTGCCAAGCAATCAAGATATGCACATGTATATAAAGCATATCAAAATTATGATGACCATCACAAACATACTTTTTCGGTTGATACATGTACATGTATGCGTGGCTGATATTTTAAAAATAATATACGAACCAAGCAATTAAAACTGACACAAACTATTAGATTTACCAACCAACATGCACGATTTATAGGAAATTTAAATATTCATATGTATTTTTATATGAAGTGTATTATTATCATAGGGCTAATTTATAGCTAAGTTTAAAATTAACTTCAGATGTTTGAAATTATTTTAATGTACAGTACATATTGTAATTGTATTTTGTATTATAATTATAAATAAGGCGACAAATTAATATAAGACTTTGACTTGTTTTTGAATCTTTATATTTTTTAAATTGTAATTATCAAAATGAATCTGTATCTGAATAAAATATTGTTTAAGTCAATCAAATAGCAACAGCCCATGCTTCATCTATCAATATTTCTCAGTCTACAATGTATTTTTCTACATTTCCGGAAACTAGTCTAACAAAGGTCATTTATTTTCCATTATTAGATTTTCCCTGACTGATTATACCGTATAAATTAGATATTGACTTTTAATTAAAGGTAAACAAGTCTAATTTATTTAGTTAATCCTTCCAATATGGCAGAGCATCCGAACAACGATATGCTGCACAGTATTGTAGCTACAGATAATCACTTAAAATATGCATAGGCTACTTAATATTTTCTCATCTAAACTTTCCCTTTCCATGCTGTCTTTAAATTTTTTTTTTATCAGATGACCGTATGACACTAGTTAATTCATTTGGAGGTACCGGTGCATAAGAAACTACATGTATTCATAGTTCTTTTCACAGTAAAACATATACTTGCATAAATACATTTTATGGGTTAATTATTAGATGTATATAATATATGTGTATGACATGACATTTATGAATTAAGATAACCACTAATTACACCATAGTATCATGATGCATTTTATTATAGAAGTTGACTAACACAATTTACATACAGGTTTATCAGATTATAAAATAAACATATTGTTATCCCAATTTACATATTTAACCTTTAGCCCTGGTTATAAAGAATACCATATAATATATATTCCTCAAGTGGCATTAAGCGATTGAGCACATAAAAAAAAATAGACAACAAAATTTATATGGAAAACAATCACTAGTTTATACACATATAGCACGCCGTTTCGACAAGTATTCTCTTATCGTTTTCAAGCCAAACGATAATAGAATACTTGTCGAAATATTGTTCTATACATGTGCATAAACAAGTGATTGTTTTCTACATAAATAATATATAAATTGTGTTGTTTTTGTTTTTTTACCATACAAATAGTTCAGTTTATCCAATCTCCAGGTCCACTTTGACAGTCTTTCAAATATCGCAGACAAGTATATCAGTAGGTTACATGTATATTGATTATGAGTTAAGGATCAAACTACACTCCATGACCATGTACATGTAATTAACAGCCTGTGAAGTAGTTATTGTCTAGTGATTAGTACTAATTACCAATTAGATCAACTTGTTGACAATATGACATCCTTCACTGCTTCTCTATCGAGTGGCTTAACAATCAGCTGGCCATTTTATTTTAATTAATTGGTCCATGGTCACAATATTAATGTACAAATGACATTATGACAACTGTCAAGAGTGACAATTGACATTATGGAGTAACTACTAAACTAGGCCAAATAATTAGTAATAAATGTGGTAAATAAATAGAATTCTACACATTGAAAAAATATTAAAATAGAATTGAATTAGTGGGCTTACTACTAATCATTTTTCTATATAAAAAAAAACACGGAAATAATGCTGAACTGACAAGTGTTTATAATCAAAACACAAACTCTTTTATAAAAAAAAAAGTTGCACGGAACCTGCACTTCTTGGCTCAGCTGAGCCTTAACTAATCACTGTTTGCCTACTCGGAGGAACGCTTTTCTGTTCTATTCACTCAAACATTGGACACCATTAGAAATGACAAGATTATGCATTGTGTTACAATCAAACATCGTATGTTAGATAGAACTCCTTCACCCAACCATGTTCACGCCACGCTGTCGACAACAAGTCGAGAAATTTCACAGTCAACTCATCAAAAATGGCGAATTTAGCAAAGATTTCTCCGGAAGAAAGTAAAATTATTACCTGTTTGGCTTCGATAATTAATCAAATTAACTTCTGAATTTGTCTGAGAAAGATGAAATAAAGAATTTAGAGCAAATTCTACGGTGGGAAAAGCCAACCGTGAAATTTCTCCATGAAAATAAGTCACAGGGCTCAGACTAAAATTTCTTTGCTATTGTAAGTGGCGACAGTCAGACGGGAAGTCGCATCACGGAATATGACGATTTTTATTACTCCGCGTATATGACCCTAAAAGCACTTCCTGTTCAATTACTATATAATTAATCGTGACCTGAAGGTATTAAAGATGACCACAATGTCTGTAATATCTTGATTGCTTCATAAACTAAATTTCATCACAACATTATCTGCTTAAAATATATTTTTTCGTTGCACTATATGGAAGCGTAGTTGTAATATGTACCAAAGTAGTTATCAGCCAACCGGTGCGCCGAGATTGATGACGTCACTATTTACTGGCGACAGAATGGCGGCTGGCCTGACCCATCTTTATGTAAGGGCGAGTAGATTTCTACTTACGGGTCAAATACATCTATTGTTGCAATATTGAGCCCCAAGGGTTTATCATGAAACACATTATGTTTATTAGGGTTTACAAGTTTATATTAAAATTGTGCCCGTGTGTAATATTAAAGTATTTGGGAGAATTCACGAGCGTCTTTCTGTTTAACAGTATAACCTTCATCCCCTAACAGAAGTAGAATGCACTTGTCTATAATTTGTAGGGAAACACCGTTAGCCTATTCTAAAGTCAACATAGGATTCTCAGTACAAGAATTTCTTTATATTAACCGTCTAGGGTTTAAATGCAGTTAAAACAGGTGTACATTTAAGAACTTTCTTTGCTATATTTTCGCTCTACTAATGAATTCATTGATTAGCAAATATTTTGACAAGGAACCCACAAAAGGCTGGAAATTCGTCTGCATCGTTTGAAACGGCGTATTACTATTTCGGTTTATAAACTAGTTAACTACGGTAATAGAATGCACGTGTGTTTATTTGCTTTAGTGTATAATTCTGCCAATAATCAAACGATTAAAATATTGCGGTGTTGTACTTTGATTTTCTGTCGATTCAAGGCTTACAACTAGGGTTTAGAGAATCGTTTGTCCAGATATATAATTAATATAACCCGTCCATTCCCGCTTATTTAGAAAGTACTAGGCCTAGTAGACACAATAATTTATAGAAATTCTGAAAATTGTATGGATAATAAATAAATATTTCTTATATTTTTTTTTTCTATCGTTTTCAATGGGTCACCCCAATTAGAATGGTAATACACTAACAATATTTATGGAATAACAATTACTGGTTTATTAACATTCAACGTTTCGACTATGATACTCTTGTCTCTTGTCTTTAATCATTTGCTTGATTAAAGACAAGAGTATCATCGACGAAACGTTGCATGTTAATAAACCAGTAACTATTGTTATTCCATATGCATGGCATATATGCTCGTCTTCATTATCCATGTTGGGGCACACCAGTAGGACGTTAAACCCCATTTCATTTCCAGTAATTTATAAAACAATAACTGGAATTTCGTATTAATACCCGTATTTTGATATTTAAAAAAAACCAACAACAATATATAAGCATTGTGACCAACAAATAAACAATATATTTAAAGAGAGGAATGACTATACATTTTTTAGTATGGACATAGAGAATGTTTGATTAACCCCCGTATCTTTATTTTAGTTTATTCCCCCCCCCCCCCTTCCTTCACTTCAACTTTAATCTTTTTTTGTAAAGTTAAGCAAATACGAATGTGCCATAAAATTATCTGCATATTAGAAAAGAGCAATTATCAGTGATGCGTAACATGGTATCTGTAATTTCGTATTTAGACCAGTATTTTTACTTGAATACCCCTTTAATAGTGTAATATTTATTGGATTTGAATTATGAAAATACGATTGTACCAGAAAACTATTTACATATTTACAAACAGAAATGAACATGTATTTCACTAATATGTAACATGATATCTGGAATTTCGTATTTGGACATTGCATAGCCCCCCCCCCTCAGTAATCATGGTAAAGTACCATCCAAAGTATATGTATATGTTGATAAGTCACATGATATCCTACATTTTCTTATGAAAGTTGATGCTGTGGGAAAGATACTATGTAAAAAGTGTGAAGGATAAATGGGATGTGGCAGAGCACAAATGTAAAATGTAATGAGAGACATGTAAAATGTAGACACGTCAAAAAAAGCATTTTCCCACAAAACATTTGTCATTTAACCATAGGCGTACAGGCTTACCTTACATGCCCCCCCCCCCCCCCCAAAGAAAATTTTGGAATATTTGACGGCTGCAAACACGTTTTCCTGCTAATTCAGTCCTTGTACAAAGTCGTCTATTCTAGCCTAATTAAGATGGCTGACTCGAATTCCAATCTAAAGGTCAATCGTTTACAGTCCACGAAGACGGGACCGTTAGCAGAAAATTTTGAAAATTTAACTGCCGCAAACGCGTTTTCCTGCTATTCCAGCCTGTGAATACAGCAACTTCAATTTGGTCCAATATAGCCCATCTGACTGACCTGAATTCCAAACAACCAATCAATCGTCGCGGAGTATGGAGGCCTCACACACACACACCCCCCCCCTGGAGAAAATTTTGAAAATTTAACCACCGCATATGCGTTTTCTGCTATTCTAGCCCGTGTAAGAAACTCCAACAGTATCCAATGGTTTTGTAACCTAAATCCCATTTTGAATTCCAACCATTCAATCAGACTGTTGCAGCTGCATTCACAAATAATAATCGATGCCCGAAAAATGTCGCACAAAGTAGAGTGGCTCCAGACAAAATGTTTTAATCCATAGTCAACTCAGTACAAATTTGTGGTATTCAATTAAAAGATAAGTAAAATTAGTGTTTTATTAGGGCTCGGTGACAGGGAAGCAAAACTAGAAATGCCCGAAAAAATTTCAGGTTTACAGACAGCGGCACCGTTTTCTTCGAGAGGCGAAGAAGCGGAGCTGACCTTGTAAGGACCCCCCAAGAAAAATTTTGGAATATTTGACGACCGCAAATGCGTTTTACTGCTATTCCAGCCCGTAAAATTAGTGTTTTATTAGATTTTGGGCACTTTATTTTGCCAAGTAGATGAAATAACTTTTTTTTTTTCACTTTACCCGTCTGCCCGAATTGTCAGCTTGCCCAAAAGTGGGGGGGGGGGCAGCTGCCCCCCCTGCCCCCCTGGCTTGTACCCTTATGCATTTAACACTTAACATTTGACCTTTTACATTTAACTCTTAGTGTAGAGGTATTTTGACTTTATCATTACCGGTATTATGGCTTTGTACATTGTACTTTTTACATATAATCAATGGAAAAGACATTGTAGCAGAGCATTTAATATTGGCAGCAATACCCTTCCATAGTTAAATACCATTTCACTCTCTCTCTCTCTGCTATTCTAAATCTACAGATTTGTTACATGTAACTGAAGCAAAACATAACAACAATATCAAGTGGCGTATAAAGACAATATTAATCCTGGCTTGTCGTAATGTTGTCTCCTTTTTTTCCAGATTAATTGAAACTCCTTTGATGAAAGGCATGAAAACACCCTGCAATAATCCAAATTGATATGGGGGAGAAGATTTATATCCGTGGTTGGCGTGATGGTGACCATGGTGATATGAAAATGCCATTAGTTTCCAGTGCTGTGTTGTTCGTAACACGATATTGTCAAGCAGATCATTTTAATGTATATCTCGTTAAAACATCAGAGGAGGAAGAAAATGGTAAATACAACAATCATCTATTTTTGAACTACCGTTTTTCAAAACATACTGAACTAATCGTTTAATATGATGTATTATGATAATATGTGTTTGCCGAAAGCACAGGAAATTATAATCTGTAACTCATCTATAACAAATGCATGATAACACGTCCACAAATATGAAAATACGTTGGTTGAGATGTCTACACAGTATTGGCTTTGTCGTCACTTGAAAATGTATCCAGTTTCTGCTATAAGTACAGTTTATTAATTCAAAATACTGTATACCCAAAACAATTTTTATATATTAAAAAAATAACACACAGGTAAAGACACTAAAGTGTACAGTTTGTTTTAAGTCATGTTGCATGTGGATCAGACACTGTACACACCTACATGTATAGGAAAGGCAAGGTGCCATTTACCCAATACCACCCGATATTCACGTACTAACCAACTACTACCATAATATACATCTACTATCTCATTATTGTGAAAATCTGAGAGAATACTTTAGTTATATCAATAAAAATGTGTTCATTTACAGAAAACTTGCAAACAATGTAAGACAAATGAGATGTCTCACAATTTCAGTTACTTCCCTTTGATCATCCAATACGAACAAATATTAACCCATTCTACTATTCCATTGATATTTCTATCTCAAATAGAAGAAAAATATCTTAAAATGAAAAATAGAAAAAAAGTACTGAACATTTATTTTGTTTGTATGTCCTTGTATTTCAGATAACGTTATCACTGTAAATTCTGATATAATAAAAGATCTTCGGTATGAGTTTATTAAAGAGAATGATGTCCCTTGTTTAGTGAAGAATTGTATTTTACCCGTAACTGTAGATGAAAGAACATCCATGATACGCTGTGGTTTATGTGGAACAGTCAGACATATTGTTCAGTCTTCTCACACGAAAAATCCTGGTGAAAATTTTAAAGATTTATTGGTAGGTAGAATTATAGGGGTATTATGGAAGATTAGATAAAGAGCTGGCAGTTTTCACTATGATAGTTAAAAACAAGATAATGTAAAGGGAATATGCTGAAAATTTCGTACTAAAGTCTGTACAATAAAAAACATAGTCTCGATTATCCATTTTTGGATTAAATCATCAATGAGCATTGAGGAGCAAATCAGATTCAAATCCAGTGAAAATGTGACATATAATATCGGATCCAGAGTTGATTAAGGTCTCTTCATGTTAATAAATGTCTAATTAATAATTTAGATAACATTTCAGGCCTAAAGAAAGACTTGCAATAGGCAGATTTAGTTCCTGCATAATGCATGTTTAATGTACACCTTACATGTACAGTAATACAAGACATACCCATGGCCCACTTGTTTAGTTCTACTCATACAAGACATGCTTGTCAAGGACAACTCCCTTGGGCTGACAAATGTTGCAGAGTGATGCACACCTAATCCTTTGGAGAAGCTACTTGAGAAAACTGAGACCACTCATTGGCATGCACAGAAAAGAATCCAACTTTCATGTTCAATATATTTATGTTATAGTCTGGAAATGACCTAGTTTGTGGCAGTGAACACCTCTTTCTCTCTCTCTTCCTCTCCTCTCCCTCTATCTCTCTCTTCATCCAAGCTTAATAGAATAGGTTGACGACCTCAGAAGATTAATTTTGTCATCCAAACCTTTTAGTAGACCCAAACATCAATGTTATTTTATTTATTTTAGGGTTTTCGACAAGGTAGTCTACGGATGTGTGCTGAGGTAAGATGATTATTACACCCAAGATAGATTTAGTGTTGCCATACTTGGATTCATTCTCAAAAACAAATATCTTAAAGGTGTATTGTGGGAGATTAGATAAAGAGCTGACACTTCTTGCTATAATAGTTTTTAAAATAGATAAGTAAAGAGAATATTCTGAAAATTTCAATCAGATTACTTCACTCTGAGCCAAGAAAACCAAATTTCAAAAACAATGTAGCCTCCATTGTCATTGTTACTGTTGTTAAAGTAATAAACGAAGTCTCGATTATCCATTTTTACGGTTAACCATGAACAGCCGTTGAATTGCAGATCAGATTTAAATCTGTTTAAAATCATACCCATCATATGGCATCAAGATTTGATTATGGTCTTGTCATGATAATAAATGTGTAATTAATAGTTTAAATAACATTTCAGGCCTAAAGAAAGACCTACCTGCAATAGGCAGATTTAGCTCTTGCATAATCTGCGTTTAATGAATAAATTTTGCTGAAAATTAGAAGATGTTGTACATTACATTCTACATAGCTTCTTAAAAAACAGAAAACGAATGCAGTGGCTCTGTGAGTAAGATGCTGGCTCACTAACCAGGAGGTCCCTCGGTTTGCTCCCAGTGTCGCGCTGTATCATAAGGCCCGTCATTGAGTCAACTGGCGTGGTTTTGAATCCCCGGTTGTACGTGACAAGGAGTAGGGTCGCCTGTCCAACTGCGTGGGTTTTCTCCGGTTTCCTCCCACTGCTAAAGACCCCTATGCACAAGCGAATTGTTGAAATAAAATTAAACCATATGTTAATCCCAGAATGACCTAGTTTGTGTCGAGTGGACGTTAAACCCCATTTCTCTCTCTCTCTCTCTCTCTCTCTCTCTCTCTCTGTTGTCCATAGGTATGTGTTAGAGTTTATTACTCTGTCCATTTACTAGATGTCTCTAAAAGATTATTACATTATTTATGTTGTAGGTGTCAGGTTGGACGAAATTATGTGAAATAGAATTACCCAGCAGTATTTACCAGTTGATCACATTAATCAGGTATTAACATGTGTTACTGTATTTAGCGTAATACATCTTAATCCACATTAATATTAGATATTGTCTTTTTATTTCAACCCAAGGACCTTAGTAGATGTATGTTATGAAATACCTTAATTGCGACATCACTTTTTTTAATTTGAAATTATTTCAGGAATAGAATTAAGAATTTGGAATTACTTCAAGAATGAAATTAAAAATTTGAAATTATTTCAGGAATAGAATAAAAAGTTTGAAATTATTTCAGGAATAGAGTGATAGATGACAAGGAAGAAGTAGAGATACCGGTGAATCTGATGAAACTGGAAATGCATTTTGAGAAGCCGCCAAAGATTCACAATGATCACAAATTAAAGAAAGCCTTGTTGGTTAAAAACAGGGAGCAGATCCTTAATCCAGAATCGGGCACACAGTTTTTAGAAAATGACTGTAAAAAAGGAAGCCAGTTTTTAATCGAATGTGACATTACGTTACCCCATGGGTTACAGAGGTACAGAGTTTATAAAAATGTCAATAATACACTTTATTTAAAGAGTGATCGTGATTACAGACGAGAAAAGGCAAGGAAAGAAAAAGTTCCGCGTAATCCAGATAGACCGATAACGAAACCTCGTACTAGAACCGATGAAGAAAAGGCTGCACAAAAAAGAGCCAAGAAAAAAAGACGGAAAGATAGAGAGACAGCTAAATATTTAGAAGAAATTTCTTTGGAACGAGAAAAAATTAATAGTAATAGCAACAATCTCGAGAAGGAATTCCAGGAACTGTCCGTAAATGATTCCAATGACATTCAGCAGGAACTGTTAGAACCACATACAAATGAAGAAATTAGGAATTGTTTTAAAACAATATCGACTTTAGATATAGAATTTATACATCTTTATTCTGAAGGATTAGAAATGACCGTAGCAGATCTTATTTTGTTTGTATATTGTTATTTTTTAATGGTAAGTAAATTTGTGGAATGGTGGAGGTTATTTAAATAGATTTGAAAATACTCCTGTGAATCAGCAAGCCTGGGGCGTACATTTCTGTGGATTTCAGAATTGAAATATATTGGTGTTTCTTTTTGTTTTAAATTGATGTTTGTATGTGGATTTCAGAATTGATATATATTGGTGGGTTTTTTTTGGGTTTTTTTTTAGATTGATGTTTGCAATGTGAAAAGAATTTGAAATGGGCAGTGTGATACTTGCATGGAAATTGGATATGAGATTGTTACAATGCAAATCTTCTATTTCAGCAAAGTTTAGAATTCAGCATGGGAGATCTAGGACAATATTTACCACACATAGAGTCTTGGTTTGATCACATGATGACATTACCACGGTTACAAGAAGCCGCTAAATCATGTGGTTTCAATACCGTTAAAATATTAGATTCCCTACCTACCATTACTAATGATATACAGTTTATAAAACCATGTTTACCAGTTACACTTGAAGATGAAATGGAATTAAAGTAAGTAATAATATATCGGATATATAACTTCACTTGTGTCATGGAAAATTGCAGAATTTGAGTTACCAATGGAAAATATTTTAAATGTCAAAAAATCAATCACAAAATCAATATTTTCTTCTCTGATGTTCTCTGTGGAGTTGGGTGGCCAAATGGTTTATCATGTGCTCTAAGCTTTAGATCATAAGGTCAGTTAAGTGGCATGGTTTCTATTTCCAGCTTGCATGTGACAAGGAGTAGGATCACCTGGCCAACCTTTTGAGGTTAGGTTAGTGTCAGCTGTGTCATCACTTTATTTTTCTACTTTGGTGTGAGGAAGCATATTTTTTGACTTACGAGTACCTGGCCCCCACCCCCTTAGAAAAGTGAGGGTCACAGGTGCAGGGATGTGAGACAGAACAAAAGGCATTTTGAGGAATAATATTCATAATTATATTTATAACTTTATGAGAAATTACTTTCTCATCAATGAAAATTATTAAATTGAAAATGTATATTTATAACCTCTACTGTCATAAAAATAAATTATTTTTATACGCCCACATTGAAATGTGGACATATATTGCCGTCGCCCCCGTCCATCGTCCACAATTTCTTGTGAACGCTCTAACGCCAAAAGTTATCATCCAATTTTTTTAAAATTGATATATGTTGTTTACATTAGTGAGATGAAGAAGTCTATTCAATTTCAATAATTTCCGTTTATTATGTCTAGAGTTATGGCCCTTGTTTCACTTTATTGAACCTTGTGAATGCTCTAACACCAAAAGTTATCACCCGATCTTTGTGAAATTTATATGCATGATTTAAATTAGTGAAACGAAGAAGTCTATTGAATTTCAGCAATTTCCGTCAATTACTTCTAGAGTTATAGCCCTTGTTTCACTTTGTTGCACCATGGGAACGCTCTAACACTGTGCCGATTTGTATGAAATTTACATGTGTCATTTAAATTAGTCAAGAGAAGAATCCTATTGAATTTCAGCAATTTCCGTTTATTACTTCTAGAGTTATGGCCCTTGTTTCACTTTGTTGCACTTTTTAAACGCTCTAACTTCTCAAGTTAACTGCCAATCTGTATGAAATGCATATGTGCCATTTAAATTAGTCAAGAGAAGAATCCTATTGAATTTCAGCAATTTCCGTCAATTAGTTCTACAGTTATGACCCTTGTTTCACTTTGTTGCACCATGGGAATGCTCTAATGCTCTGCCGATCTGTATGAAATTTACATGTGTCATTTAAATTAGTCAAGAGAAGAATCCTATTGAATTTCAGCAATTTCCGTTTATTACTTCTAGAGTTATCATCCGATATGTATGAAATTTATATGCATCATTTAAATTTGTGGTCTATTGAATTTCAGCAATTTCAGTCAATAATTTCTAGAGTTATGACGATTGTGAACCTTGTGAACGTTTGAATGACATAAGTGTCATGTGATCTGTATGAAATTTATATGCATTATTTAAATTAGTAAAACGAAAAAAGCCTGTCAAATTTCAACAATTTCTGTAGATTACTTCCAGAGTTGAGACCCTTATTTCAGTTTGTAGAACCTTGTAAACCCTCAAACGACAAAATTTATAATCTGGTCTGTATGGAACTGTCTTGTAAAGGCCCCCAATTACCTACAAAGGAATAAATATGCGACAACCCTTGTCGACCACTCGGACTATTTAGCTGCTGTGGGCGTATGTTTCGTTGCCTGGCAACCTATCTTTGTGGTTTTTTTCTAGTCGTAGAAATAAAACGAGTGTCCGAGCTATAAAACCAGAATTAACAGAAGCTCTCAACTTAATTCAGGTACATTTCAATTATCTCCCTTCCAGAGTCCTCTTGGTTCATTATATTGCTTTTGAGTCAGTTTACTTTCAGAAAATCCAAACTTAGATCTTTTTCAAGATTCAATCAAATGGAATAAGATGAAATGGTGTTTTTAAACCATCATACTGTTCTGCACACACCATGCTAATGAAGACATGCAAATGCCATTCATTGTGCTATATTCTGCTCTTATTTCGAATTCCAACTGTCAAGGGATCTTGTACTTGCATGCCAATGTGTAGACAAACACAGGACCTTGTGGTTTCGTAGCGTCCACACATCTAGACTTTGTTCCTTGCAAGGCCCTTTGTCCTGCACCAATGACAAGAGGGATCCACGTCAGAAAATCCTGATGATCTTTCTCAGCCCGCACCTGGATTGAGCCAGGGACCTACAGACTAGAGAGCCAGCACTGTGCACCACTGAGTCACAGCGACTTCCTATCTTTATGACATGGTAGTGAGAATAGATCACTTGACTTATAAATCAAATATTATATTAATGTTTAGAATGGTTGTATAGATGTTATATTGGGGGAACATCCAAGACGAGAACAAGTAGAGATAGACTGGTCGTCCCTGCCTACTAGCGCTCATCCACAGGATGGTAAATATATATTTATTCCTTATTTTATTCATTTAGAGAGAGAGAGGGGGGGAGGGAGAAAGAAATGTGGTTTAACTTCCACACAACACAAACCAGGTCATTTCGGGACTAACATATGGTTCAATGTTTAATTCTCAATAATTTGGTCGCCTTAGGGTTTTTTAGCTGTAGGAATATATCGAAGCACCCAGAGAAAAGCCACAAAGTTGGACAGGCAACCCTACTCCTTGTCACATACAAGCAGGGAATCGAAATCCCGGCACATTATTCAATGACAGACCTTATGATCCAACATGCAAGCATTAAAAAATTCGACCACCCACCCACCTTTTGCATTTAGATATGGCAGGTTTGGTTGGTGAAGGTGTTTCAGTATTTAGATATGGTAGGTTTGGTTAGTGAATGTGTTTCAGTATTTAGATATGACAGGTTTGGTTGGTGAATGTTTTTCAGTATTTAGATATGACAGGTTTGGTTGGTGAATGTGTTTTTGTACGTCACAATTATGGAATGTGGTTAATTATGGTCATTTTCATTTCTGTTGTTAAGTGTGCCATGCAAACAGGTGGATTTTGCCTGGGTAGTGGTGTGTCTGCCTACTCTTTGTCAAATTCCATCTATCAAAGCTGTTTTATAATATATCCCTTATTCCTATGTCGACTGATTTTCCAGATGGGTTCCTTCTTGTCATTGATGGTGGACGAGGGGACCTGGCAAGGGACAATGTATAGTCGTTCGGATTGGATGACAAAACAAGACCATGTGTACTCATTGGCGTGCGCATAAAAGAACCCTTGAAGGTAGAATTCGATATAAGAGTAGGCTGTAGCACCGCTGTCCGGGAAAAATTTCCCTCATAACACACTGTATGGCATAATTAAGCCTGTCTTCATTAGTTCAGTTGGTGCCGAACGGTCAGACGTTAAACAACATTACATTTCATTTTTCATAGATCTTGTGTTCATTCATGAAATCATATATTTGTGCCTGCACTGATGTAACGTTTTATTTTAGGTGAAGTACCTAAGAAGAGAATAGAAAGAAAATGTCAACAATTGGAGAATTTAGTCACAGCAGTGGTAGAAATAGCTAAAGATGGGGATGTTATAGTTGACTTCTGTAGTGGTGGGGTAGGACATTATTCATTGGTTATTGTAGCTACATCATGTCAAAATCAGTCAATCGATGCACACTTGTCCAAAGAATGAGCTTGCTAAATTTCATGTTAATTGTACTCACATTGGCAGAACCTTAAACAGAGCTAAATCTGGGCCTTAAATGTTATATAAATTATTGATTAGACATTTATTAACATGACAAGACCATAATCAACTCTCGATGCCATCGGCTGGCTCTAATTTTAAGTAGATTGGAATGGTTCAGCCAATTAATGATTTAATTTAAAAATAGAGAAGCGAGGCTAAGAATTGGATGACCAGTACAGTGGTTACAATCAATGCACACATCAACTACAACCATTGATAGCTTCGCTCAAAATAAAGTAATTTGAATGAAATTTTTAATATATTCATTTTGCATTACCTATTTTTGAACTATTATAGCGAGAACATCCAGCTCTTTATCTAAATCTTACATCATGTATCTTTACGCTTTTATTAAAGAGCGTCGCCCCGAGACAAAGAGAAGAAGATGACGACCAACTGTATAGAACCAGTTCTTCATTCAAAACAGAAATTTGAAAAAAAAGATGCGGTATGGGTTTCTATTTTAAATACCCACCCAGAGAGTGAAAACCAATTGTTGAACTTTTCTTTATTTATAAGAATTGAATTCTATTGGTGAAAGGAGTTTTAACTTTATGAAAAGTCTAATATATTGTGTTTTTTCTAGGGTCATCTAGGAATTGTGATAGCTTATCTTTTACCAAAGTGTAAGGTAAGTTTCTGTTAATTATGTTAAATATTTCATCAATGTAAATAAAGAGGGTCGCAAAACAGAATTACTCTGGTTCACCCTCGGCTTCTACTGTGCTGCGGTCCCCAGCCGACTATAAAAAAGGAACAGCCGCACAGTCTCACTTATGTTCACATAAGAAGAAAACTGGTTACGTTGATGAGGGAAATCTGGGACAGCAACCCACTACTTCAATAAGAAATTCTAATCCCTGAGCATCACAATGGCTTTACTATATCGCAAGTGTATTTTGTTAAGGGAGAAAGGGTGGCAAAGTGGGTAGTATGCTGGCTCGCTAGTCTGGAGGTCGCATGTTCGATCCCTGCATTGGTCGAAAAAGTTCATTAGGATTTTGTATCATGGTTTCACCTTGTCTAGTCATTTGGATGGGATGAAAAATCGAGGTTCTGTGTACACATTGGCATGCACGTAAAAGATCCCTTGGCAGTTGAAATTAGAAATAAGGCTAGGCCATAGCGCCGCTGCCCGTGCCAAATTTCCCTTATAGCACACTGTATGCTGTATGCCCATCTTCATTAGCCCAGTCAGAGCAGAACAGTAGGACGTTGAACCCCATTTGATTTCATTTCGTATTTTGTTAATTTTCTTTCATATATCGTGTGAAATTACCAGAGTGATCTTATGACACAAACCAAAACAATAAATTGTGGTGATTTACCTATTGTCTCGTTATTAGGATAGAGAAGATGTGGTGATTTACCTATTGTCTCATACTTTCTCATGTATTTTATAGATATATTTGATAGAGAATAAAGAAGAATCTATAGAACGGGCAAGAATTAGATTAGATAATTTACAGTTGACTAATGTTGTTATATATCAGGTTAGTATCACTAGATAATTTACAGTTAACTAACATTGTAATATCTCAGGTCAGTATAACGTCTCTAGGCTAGATAATTTATAGTTAATTAATGTTGTAATATACCAGGTCAGTATAATAAAATCTTACGAAGTTTATGGAAGGTGTCTAGTTTTTAAACCTAGTGTGATCCAGGCCTCAAATTGTAATTCTGAAAATAATTAAGAGTACTTTTTAAATAAAACAATAAAATCAGAAAGTTTATTTTACCATTAAAAACTAATTTTATCTTTTTTTGGTTTCAGTGTAATCTGGGATATTTTCACGGCCAGTTTAGTATAGGTGTCTGTTTACATGCTTGTGGTGTTGCTACAGATATGGTTCTACAACAATGTTTAGACAATAATGCAGCTTTTGTTATCTGCCCTTGTTGCTATGGTAATATTGTACGCACACATCAAATCAACTATCCTAGAAGTAGTAAATTTAGAAATGCTGGTCTTAGTTATAAGGTTAGTTTGTACATTTTTGTATAATTTTCAGCATTAAAATTAAAAACATTATTTAACATAGATTATGTACATTCAAATATAAAATGTATCAAGGGAGGATGTAGAGTCTTTGAATGGGACGAAAACCGATGTCCCGTCTTCACATTGGCATGCACTTAAAAGAACCCTTGACAGTTGGAATTCCATATAAGAGTAGACCTGTCCTTATTACCCCAGTCGGTGCAAAAAGTAGGACATCAAACCCCATTTCGTTTCTTTTTGTTTTAGTCATTTCAGCCCTTATTTTAGTTAAATATCGATAAAATAGCAGCCATTACTACCTGTTAATGTATTGTATTTGCTTAATTATTCTTGTTATTTTGTAGGATTCACTGACGTTAGGTCATGCAGCAGATCAAACTGAGTTTAATATAGCACTAGCAGGTCAAGGTCAGTATTGAACGTGTATACATTAAATACCCCTTTACCTCCTATATCGTCAGTTATGTAACAGATTCAAAGTGAAATGGTGGCACCCACAATATCTTACATACTGCATCCTTAAGTTTTATTTATGGGTAATGGATGTTTTTATCTATAACAAGTTGTTATGGCGCTAATCTAGTGTTTTATTTATCGGTAATGAATGTTTCTATTTTATTTATTACAGGTTGTTATTGTGCTAATCTAGTGGATACAGATAGAGCTGAACTCGCCCGTGAACAGAATTACACCGTTTCTTTATGTTCCTTAAAGCCTTTATCTTGTACCCCTAAAAATAATCTCCTAATAGGTACACCAAATTAATACACATGATAGAAAATCAATCAGTGCTTGAATTGTGTTCATAGTAAAAATGATTGACAAGAAGCATTATTTACATATTTTTATAATCAAGATGTTGATTTGATTTTAATGATATATGTTTATTTTATTTTTATATGTTCTCTTGTCTTATACAGTTCAACTAATACTTGTCTTTTGTTTGTTATCTGCCTGGTTGATTGCTTATGTTTTATACTTTTACAGGGGGTTGGGTTGTGTAGTTTTTGAACACCCCAGTTTGTTTTCTTGGTTTCCTACCACTGCTAAAGACACCTACACACACAAATTATTGAAACAGAATTGTACCATATGTTAGTCCCAAAATTACCTAGTTTGAGTTAAGTGGACACGATTATCTATTAAACACATTGTAAATAAATATATTAAAACTATTAAGAGTGAAGTCCTGTGAATAAGTGTACTGATGGGAGTGAGTGCCAGTCTAGAAATGGATGTTAATCTATTTGTATGATGCCATATACTGTCATAAATTGATGCAATAAACTTTTTAAAGATAAATTTTGTTGTAGTTCTAATAACCCAATTTGTAGGTATGTCTTAATGATACCATGTAGTTAAAGTTGCTTAGCAGTAGGTGAAAAGAAATGAATTGGATTGTAACGTCTGCTCTAACTAGGCTAATGAAGACGGGCAGCAGCCATACAGTATGCTATAGGGGAATTTTGCTCGGACAGCAGCACTTCAACTTACTCATAGTAATTTACAACTGACAAAGGATCTTTTACGTTCACACAGGACCTTGGTTTTTCGTACTATCCGAACGACTATGCATATTGCACCACTGACAAGGAGAAATCCTGATAAACATTCTCTGTCAACACCAGGATCGAAACCTCGTTTTACTCACTGAAACGCCATGGGTCCCACCAGAGCAAAATGCTAAAAATCATTTTCAATCTGTTGTACTCCTTGCCGTACCATCTTTACTTTATACCGTACAGAATGCCCAGTTCGATCCCTTTGTTGGTTTCTTAGGATTTTCACAAAGCATTCTCAAACACATAGTTTCTTATTGATGTATGTGATACAAAACAATAAAAGTTTTATAAAGGGCTATATTTTAGTTAAAACAAGCCAAAAGTAAAGCAGATGTCCCCCACTGAATTCCAAAAATGAATTGATGACACATATTAATTGCATGTTTATCTTTTTCAAAAGTATTGAGCAATCAAACTGATTATCAACTTATATACTAAGTTTCATCACTCTCCATCACATAGAATCAAAGTCAAAGAAATTGCTTAGCTTTAGTGGGAAATGTTAATCGTTGAACTCAGTCAAGACATTCACATAATCAACATCAATATCAAGTTTAAAAATTCTACCTCAATTAAAAGCAACTGACCAATAAAATTGCTTATCACTCCTTAGTCTAAGCAACTTAGACAAGGTGATGATATAATGAATCTATATTCGGAGTTTCATAGCTCTCACTTGTTTATAACCAAAGTTATGGCTCCCAAAAGCATCAACCAATCAAATTGCTTATCTCTGCTTACCATCGAACTCCATCAAGGCATTCACCTAATAAACACACAAAGTTTGAACAATCTACATCAATTAGAAGGAGAGTTGTTGTGTTTCAAAGTCTCAACCAATCAAATTGCTTATCGCTCTGCTTACCCTCAGCAGAAAATGTTCATTATCGAACTTAGTCAAGGTAGTGATGTAATGAAACTAATCACACAAAGCATCAACCAATCATTGCTTTTCTCTGCTTACACTAAACATAAAATGCTCATCTTCGACCTCCATCAAGGCATTGACCTAATAAACACCGACACTAAGTTTGAACATTCTAGCTCAATTAGAGAGAGAGAAATGGGGTTTAACGTCCACTAGGTCATTTCAGGACTAACATATGGTTCAGTTTTATTTCAATAATTCACTTGTGCGTAAGGGTCTTTAGCAGTGGGAGGAAACCGGATGATCCGGAGAAAACCCACAAGGCTGGACAGGCGACCCTACTCCTTGTCACGTACAACCAGGGAATCGAAACCACGGCAGTTGACTCAATGACAGACCTTATGATACAGCGCACGCGTGCTAACCATTCGGCAATCAAACCCCTCAACTCAATTAAAAGGAGAGTTATTGTGTCCCAAAAAGTGTGATGGACAGACAGACAGACAGACAGACGAACCCATTTTAATAGTCCCCTGCTTTCTTTGAAAGGAAGGGATAATTAGTAAATACCAACTCAAAGTGGACTCAATTATGTATGTGGACAGCCTTCTGAAACGGTTGTCAGAGAAAGTTCATCAGGATTTTCCAGCGTGGTTCCCCCTTCTCAGTGGTGCAGGATGGAGGGCCTGGCCAGTGACAATGTATAGTCATTTGAATGAGACAAAAAAACAAGGTGGGGGACTATGGGGCAAATAATTCTGAGTAGCAACAAGGCGGGGGACTATGGGGCAAATAATTCTGAGTAAATTCTGACTTAAGTCAGAATGTTTTGTGAAACCAGGACCTGGTTTTCCCCCTTTCGGTGGTGCCAGATGGAATGTTGGCAATGAAAAGTGTTGTCATTTGGAAGGAACGGAAAACCTTGATCCCATGTGTACCACTGTATGGTATATGCTCCTCTTCATTAACTTTGTGCAGAAAGTGATCCATTGATAGTTGGAAATAGAAAAAAGAGAAAGCTGTAGTGCCACCATCCAGGCAAAGTTACTCTCATAGCACACTGTATTAGTTACATTACTAAGACAATCACTGACCCAATTTAATACAAATCCATGCTGCACAATTTTAACCTAAATTTCAATAACTCTACTTTAAACCCCTGGAATAAACCAGTTCCAAAACTACTAATATGCAAAGTGCATACACTTTAGATTATGAGGTCTGTCATCGAGTCAAATGGGCCTTTTCTGTGGGTCCTTCCAGTTAACTCCCATTGACAAACACCCCTAACTGTAAGCAAATTGCGGAAATAAAATTAAACCATATGTTAGTACCAAAATGACCTAGTTTGTGTTTAGTGGAGGTTATACTCCATTTCTTTCTCTAACGGAAGGCGAGAAATCATTGAAGAATAAAAACTGCTCAAAATGATCTAATCTGTTTTTAGTGGACGTTGAACCCCATTTTGCTCTTGATTTTTACAATATTGTACAAAACATGTTAGTCCCAAAATGACTCTGTCTATGTTGAGTGGACTTTAAACCCCATTTCTCCGTGTGTAATTTGAAAAATAAAATAATGCTTGAAATGACCAAGTCTATTTTGAGTAGACGTTAAACCCATTTCTCTCGTTCTAGGATTTAAGAGGAGAAATCATTGAAGAATAAAAATGGCCTACTTTGTGGTCAGTGGAAGTCCCTTCCCTTCCACGCTCTCGTAAGACAAGAAATCGTTAAAGAATAAAAACTGTTGTATAGGAAACAGTGGAATTTATTATATGATGACACAAGTTATAATAATATTACAACCACTGACATAGATAACAATTAGTATAGGAAAATATTTAACAAACTGTTTTCAAACTTTTCTTACATGATTGCTAATTAATTAATTCCAGACTCAGTTTATGTTATTATTTTGATTCTAGTCAAAGTTTGAATTTGAGAAATCTTTATACATTTAACTCAACTCTTAGTTGTGTTCACAGTAAAAAAAAAGCAGCATGAGACTGAACAAAATATTAATCAATTCATGATTTCAATAATAGGAGACCGGTAATTAATAGCTTAACATCTACAAAAATATCTGGGTGAAGTATGGCTGCATCAAACCTGCAGGAATTCTCAGAAACTCATCAGCAGACCAGTACACAATGATTTCAAATGAAAAATAATTACTTTATATTTTACCCATGGGTCAGTCCGGTAAAACACTAATATTTTTTGACAAAGGCATCTAAATCTATCTTACGTTGATTTCGCAAGAAGCTGATGATTTCCTTTGTATAAAAGGGTAATATTTATTCAAACTTAGGACTGCTGCCAGAAAATCAGACAAGTCCTAATTTATCAATCCATTGTTATGCCTTTTTTCCATGTGCACATTTTCATCGGTTTTAGGTGAAGGGTTCCATTACATTAGCATTACACCAACTTTTTCACCGGCCAAAATGTGTACATTGAAAGCAGCCCCAAGTATATAAGGAACATGATTTCAGAATTTCTGGCATCAGACCACTGATGACTTACTGTAAGATTATAGATATTGGAATAAGACATTTTATTAATTGGGAATAAATCTTTTAACAAATGGAATTTTAAAAAAAAGAGAGAAAAGAAAACAAATTTCATACATATATACATACTACACACAGTTACATCCCAATAAAGTTTTATACAGAAAAAAAAAGACAAATGAAATATTAACAAATTGATTTTAAAATATAATAATGTCCAACACAGAACAAAATATTGTGTTTCTTAATTAAAACAATTATTATTGCAGAGAGTGGCCACATATCTCATTCATCAAAACATTTGTTAACAATCACCATATCTCAAATGTAACAGAAAATTTTGTGTTCATGCTTTCTCAATAGCAATTTAAGATAAACAGAAATTACTTACAAATAATCCTGTTATAAATATAATTATTTCAATTAATGAATGATGTTTGATAAACTAGATATAAAAGCAAGCCACTGTTCACATAAAATGCTAAACACCACTTTTGTTGTCTTATTGTGAAATTATGTGCTCATGTTTAACAAATGCACCGTCTCCGTTCTAACTGACTAAGTAGCTTCATTCATAAAATAATAAATGCACCGTCTCCGTTCTAACTGACTAAGTAGCTTCATTCATAAAATATTAATTAAAGTACATGTAATGCATTATGTAAGATTTAGATAAAGAACTGGACATTCGTGCTATAAAAGTTCAAAAATAGATGAAATGTATTGAAAATTTCATTTAAATTACTTTATTCTGGGTGAAGTTATTATGGCTGTTTGAAAGATGTAAGGTAGATTGTTTATTATCGTATAATTATAGATTATTCATTTTATTGTTAAATTTTGCGGATGTTCAAATCCATTGAAATCTCTTCCATCGATAGGCTAGAGAGTTGATTATAGGCTTATCATCTGAATAAATGTCTAAATAATTTATATAACATTTAAAGCCAAAAAAAGAGCTGTAAATAGGCAGATTTAGCTCTTAGATAACGCATGCTTATAGGTGGCATATATAGGTCACTCTATACAACAAAGAGCACAATTTGGACTAGTATTCATTCACAACTACAATATATTAATAAAACCACCGCTAATTTTCATTGGCTAGGAAAGTGAAATCTTCAACTGAATAAAGACACGACCCCAGACTTTTTTATATTTAATTGTACAAATAGCAATAATGATCAACAATTATTATCACATTATTATATAGATTAATAAATAAAGTCTTTACACTTTAAATGAAAAATATTTTACAATTTAGTTTTGCCCAAGGAGTCTTATATGTAAGCATATCAAGCGTTTTGTAACATGCAACATTCACATAGATAAAAGTTTAAAGACATCTCACAATTATATATTGATTTCAGTTATACCTGTCAAAATGAGGAAAAGAAAAATCTTCCCAATAAATATTTTACTCAACTTTTATGATCGACTTGTATATAAATGATCAAACAGCTTCAAAAGCCATGATGCAAGTAGTAGATTATATAATTGACAATATGTAAATATGTACAATGTTAATCTATGGACAATAAGCTGAATGTAGAGAGTATAATCTGACTGAATGTTTACAAGGTGTTTTATTTCCACTGGTTTTGACAATAGTATACAACATCAGATTTACCATCTCAAATAAGTGGATAATTTTTACCAACTCAAATAAGTTGATCATCTTTACCATCTCAGATTAATGTAGGCCAACCATTTTTACAATTTAACTGTAAGTAAGTAGAATAACAAAACAATAACAATATCATAGAATTTTACTCTAAATGGTGTATTCATAAAGTTAACCGTGAAAGAATGGACTGTGTGCAAATATTCCTCTTTTAGAAACCCTGTGACAGGAAATGGAATAAAACTGTTAGTATCAAGCATGTTAATGAAGATGTGCATACCTTGTGCATAGTGTTACAAAGGAAATTTTGTCTGACCAGCACACTGTAGTTTATTCTTATTTTGATTTCCGTAAAAGAAAGAAGACATGGGGTTTAACATCGACACATTTCAGTACTAACACAATTCAATGGGTCTTTAGCAGTGGGAGGAAACCGGACGTTGGACAGACAATGTTACTCCTTGTACAGATGGGGAATCGAACCACGCCACTTGACTCTCAATGACAGACCATATGGTCTAAGACATACCTTGGACCATTCGCCCCCACCTCCTCCCTCCCAAACGCCCATGTCGATATCAAGGTCATCAGAATTTAAATATGAACCTACCTTAATTCTGCATCTGTGTGAATATTTCTGTAGCTTGGCTGGTCGCTGGCATCTCAACGTTTGGTTGCATGGCAAACTGAACTGGCTGTCCATCTTCCTGGACAATGGCGTGTGTGACATCATTACCATCTGCAGCTTGTACAATAATAATAGTCTCCTGACCACCATCGGTTTGTAGAGTGGTGAATGTCTGTCCTTGTAGCATACCGGCATCTGTAACAACTGTCGCAAAATCAGCTTCTTGAACTGTTGCATATACAGTAGTTGTCCCATCCTCATTCTTCACCTCCGTCATCTCTGTTACATTCTCATCTTCCATCGATTCTTCAATCTCATCAGGATCATCAGGAGCTTCCTCTTCAATCTTCTTGATATAAGCTTGCATAGCTTTAGCAGCTTCACCATGAGCCACATGAACTTTACCAATATGTTCCAAGAGAAGCTTCTTTCGTTTAAAAGTTTCATGACACATGTCGCACATATAGGGAGAGAGTTTTTTGTGGACAAGCTGAATGTGAGACATCAAGTTGGATTTGTTATTGAAACATCTACCACAATCAGTACATTTGTGTGGTTTCTCTCCAGTATGAATCAACATATGACGATCAACATGGTATTTCTTGGTGAATCTTTTTTCACATACTGAGCAGATAAAGATTTTCTGGTTAGGCGACTTCCATCCTTCATGAACTCTCTTAGTGTGTCCGATCAAAGCTCCAAGAGTTTTGAAAGCAGCTTTACAAACGCTACATAAATACTGCCTGGTGTGGAGATGCATTCCCTTGATGTGAGTGTTGAGATTACCTCTGAAGGCTGAAGAGTAGTCACAATGAGGACATTTATATGGTTTACGACCCGAATGGACAGTTCTCATGTGGGAACTCATACCGGTCTTGAGAACCACCTTCCCACAGATTGGACATGGAATCTGCATTCTGTTCTGTTGGTGAAGCTCCATGTGGCGTTTCATACTTTTGGTTTGCTTACCACATTCAGTACAAGTCTCTCCAATTTCCTCAGATACTTGGGTGGAAACCTTCATGATCCTTTCTCTCCATTTGGCATTTCTCATCTCTTCGTCGTAATCAGCTTCTTCCTGATGCTTGCTTTTGATGTGTTTCACAAGACCAATAAAAGCTCGATCACAAAAAGGACATTTCAAGGCCTCCTCAGTATTTCTCTTGATTGACTTGCGCTTAGGTTCAGTATCTTCAAAGAGTGAAATGTCATTTTCTCTTCGTCTTCGTTTTGGGTTCTCATCATCATCATCAAACAAACCTTCATCTTCTAGATCCACATTCAGAGGACCAAACTTCTTTTTCTTGAGTCGAGGGTCAGTCTGCGTCTGTACAGTTCTCTTGCCAGGTGATTCATGAACTAATTCAAATTCAATAAATGGAACTTCGTCAGCTGGTGGTTGAGCTGTTTGTGTTGATTGTGAGGACATGACAGCATCCTCATCTTCATCAATCTGATCAATACTGTAAATGTCACTTGAGGTGCCTGGTGTGCTGGGAGTTCTTCGACCACGTCTTGCCGGAGACATTGATGGCGTGTTGAAATTGTCTGTGTCCATAAAGATTGGTTCTTCTTTGACATTGTGAGGTGAAGTGCCAACTTCAGAACCTTTTGACTTTTTCTTGACAGGAGTAACTGGTGTTTCAGGTGTAGTAGGAGTTTCAGGAGCAGTAGGCTCTTCTGCTGCCATCTTTTCTGGAGATTCCTCTGACTCATCTCTTGTTCTCTTTCTTCCTTTCTTATTTCCAGAATCTTCAACTTTGATTGGTGTTTGAACTGGTGTAAGCGCCTCTTCCTCCTCATTATCAATTTTCTTTTTAGGACGTCCTCGACCTCTTGGAGTTTCTTTGTTTTCTTCTTCCACTGGTTTAGTCTTAGCCTCCTTCGCTTTAACACTTTTTGTTGGTGAAGTGGGATTAGATTCATCACTTTCAACACCCTTCAAAGAACGGCGACTGACCCTTTTAGGAGTTTCTTTCTGAATTGTATCATTGGATTTTCGTTTTTCAGCTTCTCCTTCCTGTTCTACATCTTCCTCAGATTTTTTAGGTCTTCCTCTTCCTTTAGGCTTCTCACCTTCAAGCGGTGTTTCCTCTTTTCTTGTACGTCCTCTTCTTTCAGGTGTTTCTTTAACATCCTTTTGCTTCTTGGTGCTTTTTGGTGTGTCTGTTTCCTCACTTTCAGTGTCTTTTTTAGGTCTTCCCCTTTTTCCTTTGACTTCTTCCGGTTCTGACTCCTTATCTTCATCGACAGTTTCTTTTCTTGGACGACCTCTGCCCTTTTTGACTGTTTCTTCTGCTTGTTCATCCTCTTCCTTGCTCTCTTTCCTTGGCCTTCCACGACCTTTTTTCTCTGACCCTTCAACTTCAATGGTAACATTAATTTCATCTGCTTCAGCTTCTTTAACTGACTTCCCTTTCTTGCCTTTCTTAGAACTTACAACAGCTGATTCTTTACCTTCAGCTACATCTGCATCTTTCTTCGCTGCTTGTCTGGCACTCCTCTTTCTTGGGGATTCTTCTGTTTCCTTATTTTTTTCTTCTTCTAGTGGAATGGCTTCTTCTTTAATAATTTCTTCTTCGACAACAGGTTTAATAATGGTCGGGACAGTTTCGTCATCATCTCCAGTAGTTGTGGCTGTTTCTCTTTCCATAACAGCTTCCCTTATCTCTTCAGCAGTTTTGGATTCATTGAAGGATTGATCTGGAGTTTCATCCATTTCCTCATCGTCGTCAGCATCATCATCTAAACTGATAATACGTGTCTCGCCATCATCGTCAGCCATTGTAATCACTTCACCACGTTTTAACTTTTGGCTTCCGCTTACAATATCCTCATCTTCATCATCACTATAATTATAATTAATTTTTTCTGGTGGTATTTCTGTCTCTTCATCAGAGTGTTCTTCGTGTTGCTGGGTTTCTATAACAGTTTCTTCTTGTGTGGCTTCCTCTTCTCGGGGGGCTTCCTCTTGAGGGGCTTCCTCTTCTTGAGAGGCTTCCTCTTCTTGAGAGGCTTCCTCTTCTTGTGTGGCTGAAACAGTTGATGTTGTTGCTGGAGATGAACTCACAACAGTAACAGGTTGGGAAATAATCTGATTTCCAGCACCAACAGCAACTTGGACTTCAGTACCATCAGGTCTCTGAATAACCACCTGCCCCTGAAACTGCATGTCTTTTAAAGATTGAGCAACTTGTTGTTCCAATGTGTCCTCAGAGTCACCCAAGGTCTGCAACACAACTTGCTGAGGTTCTGCACTGCCAGATTCTGTAACTATATAATCTTGTGATACTGGGACTGTCTCTACTACTGTATAGCCTGTTTGATCCATGAATCCACCTGCTTGTTCTGAAGCAATGACCTCCATGGCTTCCCCATCAGCTGTGTATGCAACTTGAACACCTTCTGAAACTGGTACAGTTGTTACATATTGACCGTCGGCTGTTAATATTTGGTTTTCTGCCATTCCTGCCGATTCTCCACCTAAAGCTACTCCAGAGACGGCACCAAATACTGTCTGTGCTGCCATACCAACTGCACCACTCTGATGATCTCCAGTGACAACTTCTCCAGTCGGTTGTCCATTGGCATCAACTACCACATATTGATGCTGTATATCTCCACCAGCCAAATCCATTCCACCATCTTCCTGCATCAAAGTTTTCGGTATTTCTTGTGTCTGAATAACTTGAGCATCAGACAGAGCTACTGTGTCTCCAAATCCACCGTTTGTGGCAACAGCCTCGGTAGTTTGTGTTTCTTCTATTCCTTCCATGCCAACTCTGAAAATAGAAGAAAACAAACATTAAATAAACTTGAAGTGGCATTTAACATTGAGGAACACATTAAACAGAACAAAATATTTATGTGAAATCACTCACTGGTTTTATTCTAAAAGCATGACATTTCAACATAGTTTACAGTGCAGTCTCGATTGTCATTGCTATGACTGTCAACCATATTTAATCATATGATTGAAACTATTTGAAGTTCTAGAGAGTCTTTTTTACGGCTGCAACGATACACCAGGCCACAACACGATATACATCACAATTCATATCCTACCAAACAATTAATATCGTGATATGGGAAATAAATTTAAACGAGAGCATCGCTATCGCTGCAATATACGTCTACATTCCTGCTTTGATTCATATGGTACTTTTTAAAATAAAGAAGGCTATGCATTGGGTTTGTTTTGCCAAATTTACAGACTAAATATTTAACAAAACCTGGGTGTGACACCCCCCTGGGGGTCGGGACATGCACCAAAATAAATGGTTGCTATTCTTACGGTATAAGGAATAAACATGCCAAGATCCAAGATGATCCATTCAGATTCAGAATTCAAGCCTTGGGCGTGGCTCTGTCCCTGGGGCTTGGACATGGACCAATATAAATAGGTACAACCCTATGATAGATCATACTGAATTGGAACCAAATATGTTAATAATTGCAACCTGTCGTTTACATTTATTTACAGACAAAATATTAACAAAAAGTGGGTGTGGCACCGTCCAAGGGGGGCTGACCACGTACCAAAACCAATAGTTCCCATCCTTGGGCCAAGGGGGCGGACCATAAGTATACTAAGTTCCAAGATAATCCAGGCCTTCAGGCTCTAAAAACCAAAAAATGGGCGTGGCTTTGCCCCTGAGGTCGGGACATGCACCAAAATCAACAGTTTTTGCCCTTAGATAAGGAATACATATGCCAAGTTTCAAGATGATCCATTCAGAATTGCAGCCAGTATACGATAAACACAAAAAAGGGCGTGGCTCTGTCCCTAGGAGTCGGGACATGCACCAAAATCAATAGTTGCTGTCTATAGACTACAACTACAAGGAACACTTACATCAAGTTCCAAGACGATCGCTTAAAAATTGTGGCTTGTGTAGGCAACACACAGACACACAAAGTAACAATGGGTGTGGCTCAGCCCCTGGGGGTTGGGCATTCAGCAAAAACAATAGGATCATCCTTAGGGTATAAGGAATAGGTATGTAAAGTTTCAAAAGGATCTGTAAAGAATTGAGGCAAAAAGACACGCATAAAAACTGGGCGTGGCTCTGTCCCAGGGGGATCGAGCATGCACCAAAAATAATAGAGGTCATCCTTAGGGTATAAGGAATAAGTATGATATGAAACTGTTTCAAGATGATCCATTAAAAATTGCGGCCTGTAGGCGACACACAGAGAGAAAACAGGCATGGCTCTACCCCTGGGGGTTGGGCATGCACCAAAAACAATAGCGGTGATACTTAGGGTATAAGAAATACGTATCCAAAGTTTCAAGATGATCCGTTAAGAAATGTGTCCTGTATATGACAAACAAACAAATACAATAAATGGGCGTGGCTCTGCGTCTGGAGATCGGGCACGCACAAAAAAATACTAGGGGTCATCTTTAGGGTATAACTATAATGAAAAAGTATACAAAGTTTCAAGACAATCCATTAAGAATTGTGCTCTGTAGGCAACCCACAGACAGACACACACAGACAGATCATGGTAATATTATATACTTTTACACTTTTTGCGTGCACTATTCAAACGATTTTTTTTACAATAAAGGGCCATAATTCAAGAAGTATCGATCCGATATGCGCAATTATCGAAAGGAACCAAGATCTTTAGGTTATAAACATGTATTTCAAGTTTCATCTAAATCAGATAAAAATTGTGTCCTCTAGGATTCACAACCTTGATATATCATATAATATTTGCATATGCGGGGCGGCTATTTTTTCTGGCAGTTTTGGTCTGATTTTTGGGTTATAAACATGTTTTTCAAGTTTCATCAAAATCGGATCAAAATTGTGGCCTCTAGAGGGTCCACAACCTTGATATACCATAAATTTACACTATTTGCGTCTGAGAGACGGCCATTTTGTCCGGCAGTTTTGGTCCGATTTGTACGAAAATCGAACTCAACCATCTTTCCGATTTAACGGTGATATATTCAACCGGTTTTTTTTTTAAATCGAATAAAAACTGTGACCTCTAAAGGGACCACAAGCTAAAAACGTGATTTTTCATATAATCAAGGGGCATAATTTAGGAAGTTACGATCCAATATTCGTAAATATCAAAAGTAACCAAGATTTCTGAAATCGGCTTGTTATGTATAACTAACTATCAATACTACACTGTGGTCCCAGTCCCCATCTTGTGTAGCCTTTCTGTGGTGGGGAGTGTGTGGCCAGGTGGTCATTTTATTTGTAACGAAACAGTTACACGACATGGTTATTTTGTCACATAGTCTAGTAAACAACCTGTGCCGAAGTCAATGATGATGCCTATTTTTCCACCCTGGATACACTTATTCCAAATAGCTTATTCAACAAGGGTTGTAAATTAGTCTTATTTAAGATTTATAGGGTGTCGTATGCACCTATAGTTTGCTCTAATAGAGCTGAACCAAGTTCTGTGTTCAACCTCAAATAACAAATTCTTAATTAAAGTTACATTAGTTAAAGAGTTTAATAAAGAGTTGGTCATTCTTGCTATAATAATTCAAAAATAGAGATGATGAAAAAAGAAAATATTGAAAATTTCAGTCAAATTACTTCATTCTCAGCCAAGTTATCATTGTTTGTAGTTTTGACAAGATGTGTGTCTAGAGTAGAATACTTTGGATAAACTAGTCTTAAAAACTAAGGGGGGGGGGGGGTGCTGATTGGGTAGCCGATGTATCATAACCTTTGTCACTGAATCTAGTTGCATGGTTTCGATTCCCCGCTTGCACATGACAAGGAGTAGGGTTGCCTGTCCAGCCTTGTGGGTATTTCTCCGGGCCCTCCAGTTTCCTCCCACTGCTTAAGATGCCTACGTACAAGCCAATTATTGAAATAAAATTGAATATGTTAGTCTCAAAATGACCTAGTTTGTGCCAAGTAGATTTTAAACCCCATTTCTCTCTCTATCTCAAAAATGAAGACCTGTCACTTAGTTGGTGATGGGTAATAGACAACTAAACACAACCATGCGACAAGTAATGAAATATTTTACAAACTAACATTTTACATTGTGGTCAAGTCTGGACATAAGGCCCCTGTCAGACTTTGTCAGGCTCAAGTTATCTTGCAAGGTAGGCTTATACATTATAATAAATGTGTAAAGTGTTGTGAATATGTTATAATTTGTGTCTTTGATGGTGCCTTATGTCCAGGCTTGATGGTGGGTGGAGTAATATACCAGACCGGTATGTGATTTTACCATGAATATAGTTAATAGTAAGTGCAGGGGGACTATGTACACCACACACAAACAAAAATACATGTACAAGACAAAACAAGCCAACAGTGAGGCTGATGTCCCCCGCCGAAATAGGAAAATAATTAGAGGACACATATAAATTTATCACAAATTATCTTTTACAAAGTATTGAACAATCAAACAGTATATCTTTACTTATAGTCTAAGCATACAATGTTTTTGATGGAATAATTATAGCATATTAAGGGGAAAACATGCTCTATGCCTACAGATCTAGAGTTTGGTTGTATCAACGGGTCTATTTTCCATCTTGCTGCAAGTTGTGCAAAGTTCACTGTTTTCTTTCTGTCATTAAATGTCAATTCATTATTGCATACTACATATTTAATTAATTTATAATAGTTCTCACTTAATTAGAACTAAAGTTATCGTGTCCCAAAGCATCAACCAATCAAATTGCTTATCTCTGCTTACCCTAAGCGGAAAATGCTCATCTTCGAACTCCATCAAGGCATTGACCTAATCAACACATACACCAAGTTTGAACATTCTAGCTCAATTAGGAAGAGAGTTATCGTGCCCCAAAGTATCAACCAATCAAATTGCTTATCTCTGCTTACCCTAAGCGGAAAATGCTCATCTTCGAACTCCATCAAGGCATTGACCTAATAAACACATACACCAAGTTTGAACATTCTAGCTCAATTAAAAGTTATCGTGTCCCAAAGCATCAACCAATCAAATTGCTTATCTCTGCTTACCCTAAGCGGAAAATGCTCATCTTCGAACTCCATCAAGGCATTGACCTAATCAACACATACACCAAGTTTGAACATTCTAGCAGTTCTCACTTAATTAGAACTAAAGTTATCGTGTCCCAAAGCATCAACCAATCAAATTGCTTATCTCTGCTTACCCTAAGCGGAAAATGCTCATCTTCGAACTCCATCAAGGCATTGACCTAATCAACACATACACCAAGTTTGAACATTCTAGCTCAATTAGGAAGAGAGTTATCGTGCCCCAAAGTATCAACCAATCAAATTGCTTATCTCTGCTTACCCTAAGCGGAAAATGCTCATCTTCGAACTCCATCAAGGCATTGACCTAATAAACACATACACCAAGTTTGAACATTCTAGCTCAATTAAAAGTTATCGTGTCCCAAAGCATCAACCAATCAAATTGCTTATCTCTGCTTACCCTAAGCGGAAAATGCTCATCTTCGAACTCCATCAAGGCATTGACCTAATCAACACATACACCAAGTTTGAACATTCTAGCCCAATTAGGAAGAGAGTTATCGTGTCCCAAAGCATCAACCAATCAAATTGCTTATCTCTGCTTACCCTAAGCGGAAAATGCTCATCTTCGAACTCCATCAAGGCATTGACCTAATAAACACATACACCAAGTTTGAACATTCTAGCTCAATTAGGAAGAGAGTTATTGTGTCCCAAAAAGTGTGACGGACAGACAGACAGACAGACAGACAGACAGACGGACGAACCCATTTTAATAGTCCCCTGCTTTCTTCGAAAGGCGGGGGACAACTACGGATAAGACACAATATATAGACATCACAGACAACAAACGTACACTTCAGATCAAGTGAATAGATCCAGGGGGCTAGCAGTAAGCACCCACTGCGCTGTACAAGAAAAACATAACAGAACTAATGCGAACGATCTTGACAATGGTCGTCTCTTCAATGCCAATGGCAAGTCTGCCATAAAGATGCATTATGCAAGATTCAGATAAGGAGCTGGATGTTCTTGCTAGAAATATTATAATTAATATTAATAGTTTCAAAATACATAATTGAAAATTTCTTTCAAAATAATGTACTATATTCTGAGCGATGTTATCATTGTTTAAACTTTTGACATAGATTGTTTATTATTGTAGCAACGTTACTTATTAATCGAGAATCAAACCTCAGTTCTCCATTTTTAAATTAAATTATTTATAATATGGCGATCATATTTTAATCTGTGTGTATAAATTTAAATAACACTTGAAACCAATATAAGGACCTGTAGGCATATTTAGATAAGGGGGTCACGGTGGCTAAGTGGGTAAGATGCTGGCTCGCTAGTCTGGAGGTTGAGTGTTCAATCCCTGCATTGGCCGAGAAAGTTCATCCAGATTTTCCGACATGGTTCCCCCCTTGTCAGTCACAGTGATGCAGGACGGAGGGACAGCTGTCTAGTCGATCGTATAGAATGAAAAACCGATGTCCTGTGTACACATTGATGTGCATGTAAAAGATCCCTTCACAGTTGGAATTCGATATAAGTATAAGAGTAGGCCATAGTGCCATTGTCCAGGCAAAATTTCCCTCATAGCACTGTGTGGTGTATGCCGTCTTCATTAGCCCAGTTTGGAGCAGAACAGTAGGACGTTAAACCCCATTTCATTTCAATTTATTTATCTAGGATAATAATCAATTGATTTTAAGTGGCTTAGTCATAGTGAGGCATCAACCATCCAAAAAATAACCACCATGGCATTCAAAATAGAATTTCAAAGCAGTTATGTTCGGCGAAATACGCCAGAAGTCTCAATCCAATGACAATCTCTAGTGTCTGGTTATTCTAGTCTACACCGATAGTATTTATTGCGCATGTTCTCCAGATAAGAATATGGGGGTCACCGTTTGACATGACTTGTGGAACATGTTTAACCTCGTTCTTCGAGTCACTTGCTACAAATTGCACTGAAACGCATTATGGTACACGATTCGTGTACCAATCGTAACATGTTTTTTTTGTCTTAAATATATGATATCAGAAGCCCATCTTTTTCCGGTAAGATCACAACACCAATGTTGATTAAAATTGACTAATAATTCGTGTTTTCATTGTCAAAGGTTTTGGATGATATTGAGTTAGAGACTTAGCTACTTTAAAATCTCTGTGCTGGCTTGATCACAATCAGTAAATTCTATATCATTTATAAGAATTCAATTTCAACTATCTACTTTAGGATTTCTTTTATAAATAATAGGCCTATAATAATAATAAATTATTAAATAGATCAGATAAGAGTATCATTCAAGCAAGAAACGCATGTGAAATTTATATTTTATTTGTTGGGGTTTTTTTTTTTTTTTGTGACACTTTTTATGTAACGTATAATATACGTGTTGTTATTGCATAGGCCTCGCTCAAGCTGATAACCCACTCATAATAGACAGTCGTTGGCTGTGGTTTACCAGATATGACGGGTCATCATGACCTATCCGTCACAAGCCAGAAAAAGCCGCTTTGCGTCCAGTTCCCTATTTGACCTTGAATTAAAAGAGCTAAATCAATTTATTTTCACGATGAAAGCTGTGTTTATTAGTAGTTACCAGCTCTTTTCGTTGATAAAATTAACTTTGTTCGTATTAGTTTCACAAATCAAAGGGAATTTACTCCGCCACGGAAATAAAAATCTCGGCCACGCTTCCCTCTCAAAACTAGTACTACTAGCCGCCATATTGTTGCTTTGTCTGCATTTTTAATGTAGGTTGTATTTCCGTCATTTATATATTTCAATCTTCGTCAATAATTGTCCCATATCAGTTGCCAAACAATTATATAATCCATGAGAACATCTATCAAGAAATTTGGAGAAAGGGGTTTACTCAAGAACTAAAATTGTCGCCCCTGGACAAGGGCAAATAACTGAGTTACTTGGCCATGTTGAAAAAACCGAAGTTCATCAAGCGGCGGTTATCGCCCATAGAATGCTCAGTTTGCCGAAAAGGGCGACTTATTTCTTAATAATACTCACTTTTAAAGAAATGTCATATCAAAGAAAGTTCTGATATGTAAGAACGGGGTCCCTTTGTTGACTTTTTGGATGTTTTTCTTCGTCAAATGTCGACTCGTAGTAAATGAGCAATTTTAGCTGGCTTCTACACGCTCAATGTATTACCCATGATACATCACGGCGAGACCACCTTGTAGACAAGCCCATCCAGACCATAGCCACACATTGCCATTTAATGTTAAAATTCACAATGCGCCTGGACGCCAACGATAAATGACACGTGACGTTCAGGCACGTTCTGAAGCAAAGACATTTTTGATCAATTTAATTTTACGGCCAAAAGTTTCAACATTTGTTTCTTCTGTTAAGTTTTGTCAGTTTGTGGGTTTCTTTCAGCCCGGTTTTCTAACGATAAATTTCAAGAATAAAAACCGAAATGATAGAGTTATTAAACTGTTGTCTGAAAGAAGTTTTAAAAATTACTAAAAATGTCGGCTGTTTAAAGTTTTGAAGAAAATAAAACCAAAAATGATTTAAAACAGAAAAAAAGATATATTTGTGTATAAAATTGTAAGGATAATGAGCGTGCTAAAAGAAAAAAAAAACAGTTGTATAAATTTCTGGAGACTGAGCTGATATTTTAAACATACATTTGCGCATATTGCAAACAAATGCCCCAAAAAAGGCAGTTGAAATATTGTCAATTTAAAAAGAAAATTAGTAAACATTTTTTTATTCAGTAAATATCTGCTGAATTTGGATCTGGGAACTGGCTCACACTGATCCGCAGTGAATATTCGCTAGGCCGCAACAATCACTGATAAGGACTCAATGAGCCACACATATTAACTTTTTCCCTCCGACAAATTAAATTTTAAAACATTTATTTTATGTATTAGAAAAATAAATAAAGACGTTTGAAGTATTTGTAAGTAAAAATTAATTATTTCCTATAATGTAAATGGGTATTAAAATGAGTAAAAGGCGCCATTCTGCTCGAATCAGTAACGTTATGTAAACAACGCATGCGCCATTGAGCCAATGATTGACGCCGCGTGATATGACGTCATGTGTTGAAGACAGTCATCTTTTACAGGGATATTAGAAGACTTTTGCAATACTCTGTGAAACAGATTGGAACAGGCTATGTAGAATCGAAGACGATTTTATAATCTATTTAAAACATTTTCAAACAACAATAGTTTTTGAAGCCTCGCAAATTTCATTTCAATTGATGGGGTTGATGCCCCAAATCAATTTTAAACTAATCTTTTAATCAGATTGCTGCATTTACAAATCAGTACAAATTCGTGGTATTCAATTAAAGGAAAAGTAAAATTAGTATTTATTAGATTTCGGGCACTTTGGTTTGCCCAACTAGATGCAATAATAATTTTTGTTCTCACTTTACCCGTCTATCCAAAAAGTCGGATTTCCCGAAAGTTTGTGAGTCGGTTGGCTGTTCTGCTCCGTCCGACTGGGATAATGAGGGCAAGCATACGCCATACAATGTGCCACACTGATCAAAAGTGAATATTCGCTAGGCCGCTACAATCACTGATAAGGTTGACATCAATGCGACTTAATGAGTCTTAAATATTAACTTTTTTCCACCGACAAATTAAATTCTAAAACATTTTTTTTTATGTATTAGAAAAATAAATAAAGACGTTTGACGTATTTGTTGGTAAAAATTATTTCCTATTTTGTGTAAATGGGTATTAAAATGACTAAAAGGCAGCATTCTGCCCGAAGCAGTAACGTCTTATGTAAACAATGCACGCGCCATTCAACCAATGATTGACGCCGAGTGCTGTGACGGCACGTGTTAAAGGCAGCCATCTTTTACATCGAAATTAGAAGACTCGTAATTCTCCGTAAAACAGATGGACAATGTGCTATGAGATAATTTTTGCCCGGCAGAGGAGGTAGGTTACGGCCTACACTTATATCGAATTCCAACTGCCAAGAGATCTTTTACGTGTACACGAATCTGTACACCGGAGCTCGGTTTTCCGTCCCATCCGAACGACTATATTATTGAAAAAGACTAGTTAAAACTTGCTCCTACTCCTGTACGTATAAGATTTATCCTTAAATGGCTCTATTATTTGGAATCTTAAAACAGAGAAAAATGGGTCTAAAATCACATACGAATGTAATAATGTATAAAGGTGAACAGTCCAAATACAACGACGGCGGTTTACGCCTGCTTAGTCCATTCAGTCATTTCTGCATTCTCTTGTAGGATATGTTCATTACAAATGTACCGCTCTGATTAGAGAATGTTCATTGTGTGATTGGGTCTTAAATATTGAATTTTCACGGCAAGATGACAACACCAATAGTGATTGAATTGAACCAATATTGGATTTTCAAGTTTTTGTCAAATATCGAGTTAGAGGTTTAGCTTCTTTAAAAGTATTAAAATCTATATAAATAAAATCAAAGATGTCTGTGTGTATAATTGTTACGTGTATTTTTCGCCCATCACGCCTCATCGCCGCGGTCCTTGATCCCAACAATATGTCATATCAAATTATAACCGGCATGACACCGACCTAGATAACAAACCTCAACTCTCAACCCTCCGTGTTACGAGATAAGAGATGGTGCTATACAGTTTCACGTAGCAAACCCCAAAGCAAATCACATCGGGTGGTATCAGTAAGAAAATTTGACAATATATTATTATCCCGCGCCGAACGAAGTTAGGGAGGGATATTGAAATGGGGTTCGTTCGTCCGTCCGTCCGTCCGATTTCGTTTCCGGAGCATATCTCATAAACCGTTCAAGATATCTTTCTGAAACTTTGCACACACATCAACCTATTACAGTAGTCGTGCCTTTTGCTACTTAGGAATTTATGGGATTTATATTTTTTGTGTTTCCATGAAAACAAATTTGACTTAGTTTTTGGTGTACAATTTTGTTTCCGGAGCATATCTCATAAACCGTTCAAGATATCTTTCTGAAACTTTGCACACACATCCACCTATTACAGTAGTCGTGCCTTTTGCTATTTAAGAATTTCTGGGATTTATATTTTTTGTGTTTCCATGGAAACAAATTTGACTTAGTTTTTGGTGTATAATTTTGTTTCCGGAGCATATCTCATAAACCGTTCAAGATATCTTTCTGAAACTTTGCACACACATCAACCTACTACAGTAGTTGTGCCTTTTGCTATTTAGGAATTTCTGAGATTTATATTTTTTGTGTTTGCATGGAAAAAAAATGACTTAGTTTTTGGTGTACAATTTTGTTTCCGGAGGATATCTCTTAAATCGTTCAAGATATCTTTCTGGAACTTTGCACACACATCAACCTATTACAGTAGCTGTACCTTTTGCTATTTAGGAATTTCTGGGATTTATATTTTTTGTGTTTCCATGGAAACAAATTTGACTTAGTTTTTGGTGTACAATTTTGTTTCTGGAGCATATCTCATAAACCGTTCAAGATATCTTTCTGAAACTTTGCACACACAACAACCTATTACAGCAGTTGTGCCTTTTGCTATTTAGGAATTTCTGGGATTGATATTTTGTGTGTTTCCATGGAAACAAATTTGACTTAGTTTTTGGTGTACAATTTTGTTTCCGGAGCATATCTCATAAACCATTCAAGATATCTTTTTGATACTTTGTACAGACATCTACCCATTACAGTAGTTGTGCTATTTAGGAATTTCTGGGATTGATATTTTGTGTGTTTCCATGGAAACAAATTTGACTTAGTTTTTGGTGTACAATTTTGTTTCCGGAGCATATCTCATAAATCCTTTAAGATATTTTCATGGCACTTATTTTGAATTTCTCAGATTTGATAATTTTATGTGTTTCCATGGAAACACATTTAACTGTTTAAGATACCTTTAAAATAATTTTACCCATTATTTTATTTTCTGAAATCCAGCCTTCCGTCCTGATTTTGTTTCTGGAGCATATTTTATAATCTGTTCAAGAAATCTTTTTGAAACTTTGTACAAACATTAACCTATTATAGTATTTTATTTTTTGATGTATAAGTTTATTGTTTAACATGCAGCGGCTAATTGAGGTTGGCATTTTCTATGTAGTAATGTCATGTATAATTTTTAAAACCAGAGCTTAATGTCATAAATTATCTCAAATCTTCTAGTAAATAGCAATCAGTCATTTGTTTTCAGAAATAGAGAGCAATATCTACTAAACAGGGCCACAATATTAGGACCAGTGACACTGTTTGCGAAATCTGATACATTTTTATATTGATTACCAATTATAGCAGAAACAAGTTATTTTTCCTTATTTCTTCCAAACAAGTGCAAGGGCGCGGGATGTTAATAACTAGTCATCTTGTTTTTCATCAAAACGGCGATTGATTATTGTTACTTATAATATTTCTGCCACATCCAACTTTTAATTACGCATATTATAATCCTACCTGAAACGGGTATAAATCATCGTATTTAAAATAAAGGCGTTAAGCCGTTACTAGGAACGCCATTTAAACGGGAGAAATGACTGACGGTGTATAGGCCTACATATGTCGGATAAAAACAACGCTTCATTAATTTAAAAGCGAATATTTGGAGTTTGGCGATAGTTGTGCCACTACATTGGCCTCTGTTAAGTTTAATTAGTCATAATAGTATAATATATTATAGTATCTTTTTTTTTAAGATGTTACATGCATTAATTAATAAAGAAACTGAGTTGCCACTTGGAACTAAAGGCACCCAATCGTAGCTAAAAACAAGCACATCAGTTGGTGAGTAGGCCTGCTATGTTATCTAAACGTTTTTAGCTACGTTCTCGTAGCTAGAGACCGACCGCGGTGAATGTTTTAGGCCATCGAATTTGGGCCCCCTGTCGAATTGGGTCCCAGTATAATTGGGCCACTGGCGAATTTGCACCCGCGTAGTAGGCTACAACTAAACAAAAAAAACCCAAGCAATGAGTAGGTTT